ATGGATCCTAGGAACTTTTAAGACAGTACTTAGTCAGGACTCCTTAGGGGTTAAGTGATTAGATTCTGTATAATTTGAAAGTCCAGGAAAATGGAGTACTTATTCTAAATTAATTTTTTTTGTTTTATTTTTTAATTTTTATTAGTGAAACACCATGAGGTACAGTTGTAGACTTAACAGATTTTTGTGCTTGGGTTTCAATTAAACAATGATCAAATACCGATCGCTCCACCAGTGCCCATTTTCCATCACCACAGGTCCCAGTATCTAAATTAATTTTAGAAACTTCTTTTTATTACTAATGACCTGCCATGGAATCAAATATTAGAATTTAGCTTTTACTGAAGAACAGGTAATAGAACAGGTAATGTTTCATTAATTTAGGTGAGGTCTTCTAAGTTGTGCTCAGCCCCTCCCATTTTTCTTAGATAGCCTGAATGGGCTTTCAGTGAGGGTCCCAGGGTGCAGTGCTGCCAAGATCCTGCAGTGTTGGCAGTCACCTGGTGATGCTGTAGGGCCACACTTGATGATGCTCAGGGGACCAAGGCATGCTGGAGATTGAACTAGAGTCAGTTGCGTGCAGTTTATGCCTTAAACCCTGCCCTGCCATTTAGGCTCCAGGATTTATATTTTGTCTAGTTTGTAAGTCAGTCTGTATTCTAAGCCTAGTACATTTATTCATTTTGCTCAGTTTTACTGTTTTTAAAGTGAAGGGTTTAAGACTAAATTGTTTTAAGTTGTAAGACTTGTTTGTACCTAATTATACTAGCATAGTGCTTAGACCTTGTAAGGGAAATTTTGAATTGTACAGATTTTTATTTCTGCCTTAATGGAATAGATATCACTAATACTTTTAGCCTCTAAATGATAGATATACTTTTTTTGGAGTAAAATGGTTTTATTTATTTTTTATTAGTGAAACACCATGAGGTACAGTTATAGACTTACAGATTTTTGTGCTTGGGTTTCAGTTATACAATGATCAAGTACCCATCCCTCCACCAGTGCCCATTTTCCACCACCGCAGGTCCCAGTATCCCTCCCACCCCCCATCCCCCCCATCCCACCCTGCCTCTGTGGCAGGGCATTCCCTTTTGTTTCTCTCTCCTTTTGGGTTCTGTGGTTTGCAAGAGAGGCATTGAGTGGCAGTCATGTTTGGTCTATAGTCTACTTTCAGCATGCTTCTCCCATCCTGGGAGGATCCTCCCAACACCCTTTATTTGGTGCTCCCTTCTCTATCTGAGCTTCCTTTTCCCCAGAACGTGTGGCTGGCCTCCAAGTCATGGAGCAAAATTCTTGGTACTAATCTGGGCCACTCCTGGGTGTTAGTCTCCCATTTTGTTACTTTATGTTCCCCAGATGAATGCAGTCTTTCTGTGTCTATCCCACTCTTTCTGACTCATTTCACTTAACATGATACTTTCCATGTAATGCCACTTGTATGTAAATTTCATGATTTCATCTTTTCTAACAGCTACATAGAACTCCATTGTGTAAATGATAATACATATACTTTTAATTTTTAGATACTAAGTCCAAACGGACTATAGAAATGGAATTGTTTTGGGGCTTCACTGGGCTGTGGTCAGGGATTACACCTGGCTCCAGGCTCAGAGATCACTCTTGGTGGCCTCTGGGTACCATGGTCCTAGGTACTATGTACTAGGTACTGTGTACTAGGTACTATGGTTCTATGGATTGAACCCAGGTCAGCCCCATGCAAATTAAGCGCCTTACCATCTCTTGCCCCAGAACTAGAATAATTTTTACAACTGAATGTTTTTGGAAGCATCTGAAAACTTGTGCTGGCAGTACAAATATTAACTAGATAAGGTTTAAGGCATCTAATTAGTAGAAATAAACTTAAAGCAATTCAATAGGAAGTATTGTAAAATTTATTTTAAAAGCTGTAAATATAAAAAATGTAAAATGTATAAATTTTCGAGACCCCAGAATAGTTTTATTGAACTCATAATCATTGGCATAATAATGATGAAATATGGTTCTAGAAAAATTGTATTTTGATTTTGTTTTGTTTGGTGACAATACTTAGTAGTGCTCAGGGCTTATTTCTGGCTCTACTCTCAGGAATCACTTCTGACTGTGGCTCAGGGGACCATTTGTGGTACCCAGGGATTGAACCCAATCAGCTGCATGCACGGCAGATGCCCCACGGCAGTTGTCACTATAGCCCTAGAAAAAATCATTTAAATAGCCCATAAGTTTATGGAATCAGTTTATGATTCACAAATAAGTTATTTTTAAATTGAATTACAAAGTTATAAAGTTATTTGTGGTTCAGTTTGAGGTGTATAATGTTTACAAATAAGTTTTAATACAGATATTCTCCCTTTTTTTTCTTTTTTTTTTTTTATTAGTGAAACACCATGAGGTACAGTTATAGATTTACAATTTTTTGTGCTTTGGTTTCAATTATACAATGATCAGATACCCATCCCTCCACCAGTGCCCATTTTCCACCACCATGGATAATATCCTCCCACCCCCATCCCCCCATCCCCCCCGCCTCTGTGACTGGGCAATCCCGTGTTCTCTCTCTCCTTTTGGGTGTTGCGGTCTGCAAAAGAGGCATTGAGTGGCAAACATGTTCAGTCCATAGTCTACTTTCGACACGCATCTCCCCTCCTAGGAGGATCCTCCAAACACCCTTTATTTGGTGCTCCCTTCTCTATCTGAGCTGCCCTTTCCTCTAGAATGCCCGGCTGGCCACTAAGCTATGGAGTAATCCTCCTGGTGCTGATCTCAGCTATTCTTGGGTATTAATCTCATACTTTGTTACTTTATATCCCCCAGATGAATGCAATCTTTCTATGTCTATCCCTCTCTTTCTGACTCATTTCGCTTAGCATGATACTTTCCATGTTGTACCACTTGTATGTAAATTTCATGACTTCATCTTTTCTAACAGCTTCATAGTACTCCATTGTGTAGATGTACCAAAGTTTCTTTAACCAGTCATCTGTTCTTGGGCATTCAGGTTAGATATTCTCCTTTTTTTTTTTTTTTTTTTTTGTCTTTTTGGTTCACACCCGGCAATGCTCAGGGGTTACTCCCAGTTCTACACTCAGGATTTACTCCTGGTAAAAAAAAGATATTCTCCTTTTTTTTTTTTTTTTTTTTTTTGGTTCACACCTGGCAATGCTCATGGGTTACTCCCAGTTCTACACTCAGGATTTACTCCTGGTGGTGCTCAGGGGACTTACGGGGTGCTGGGAATTGAACCCAAGTTGGCTGCATGGAAGGCAAACGCTCTACGTGCTATACTATTGCTACAGCCCGAACACAGATTTACACAATTTTACATAGGAGTTGTATTCAAGCAGGTCTTTAGTATGGACCCTCATTTGCTTCACTCTATTTTTAGGCCTATTACATGAGCAAAATATGGCAAAAATGAGACTGCTTACTTTTATGGGAATGGCTGTGGAAAATAAAGAAATATCTTTTGACACAATGCAGCAAGAACTTCAAATTGGAGCCGATGATGTTGAAGCATTTGTTATTGATGGTAAGTGAATTAGAACATTACTTTCTTAAGAATTTATCTTGTACAATATGGAATATAAGATTTTTAAGTAGCCATCTAGAGTCTGTAGCAAATGTCTGTGTTACAGATTAGGGGCTGTATTTTTGTACTAGAGTGAAAGTTTAATAAAAATATAAATTATTTCCTTAGAAACAGGATCTTCTTCCCCAGAGAACTATATTAAAATGATTTAACTGTTAATCGGAAATTTTCTTTGAGAGTTTTAACTGTGAAATTACAATTAAGGTTAATAAGATGTACAGAACTACTGACATTGTTCCTTTCTAATCTAAGTCCCAAAACAGTCCTATAAAGATGATTTAATACCTTAGTTTATTAGGTAATTAATTTTTTCCCCTATAAGTGATTTTAGGAGGATTTTATTCCTGATAAGTGATTTTAGGAGAGAATACCTAGAATTATTTGTTAAAAACTGTGATATTTAACAGTGATTGCCCAGTGACCTTAAGACTTTACTTTTGGTTGCATCGTATTGTTGTGCTTCTTCTTAGTTTCAAAGGGGAAATATGTAAAATAAAAGTTTTATTGCTGCTTATACTTGGTCAGTTTTATACCTTAGATATCTCTTGGGAATTTCCCATATAACATAGCATATGAAAAATCTTTATTTCAGCAGTGAGAACTAAAATGGTGTACTGCAAAATTGATCAGACCCAGAGAAAAGTTGTTGTGAGGTAAGATATTTTATATTTTGCAGCATTTTGTAGAACAGTTTAGTTTATTTTGATTATTTCATTTAAGTGTTTAAAGAATCAAGGTAATGTTTTTATCAGTTGACTGTAGTCAAATAGTTGCTATTTATCATAATTTTATTAAAGTTCAGACTGAATGTGATTAGCTTATTTAATGAAAGAGTCCTATTTTCCAGCACATTTCATTTAATGGCTTCGCATTGGCTAGAATACTAATGACTTTTGTGGCTGGTTTGTATAGTTTAGGAAAGTGGCAGGTTTAGGATCTGTGTACTAAAATTTCAAAATAAACTTATTCTCAAAATCCTAAATAGTCTATTAATGTATATTTAACCTCACTTTTAACTAGATATAAATATATAATGTAAAAGAATACATAATTGAAGTTTCTAATCTTTCATTGCTTTTAATTTTTTCAGTCATAGCACACATCGGACATTTGGAAAACAGCAATGGCAACAATTATATGACACTCTTAATGCCTGGAAACAAAACTTGAACAAAGTGAAAAACAGCCTTTTGAGTCTTTCTGATACCTGAACTTTTATGTATATGATTTTGTTCTTTTTTGGAAAAAACTAAATATAGTAAAATGTTATAAATTAAAATTTGACTATAGCCTGGACATTTATTATTGCAGTTTTTTAATTACAAACTTTATACAGAATAATTACAAAGAGTTCTCTGTATTGTAGAAATATGAGTTGTTTTTATATGGGTTTTAGAGGCAAAATGAGCTTTGATGAAATATATGGAGAAAAAACCTTATTGGGAGTAGAACGCTTACAACTAACTTTGAAAATGTGGAGATTGCTATCAAATGAAACAGTTCCTGAGCAATAACACAGAATAATACAGTTTCATCATATCAGGGGTTGGAAAGGGAGCTCAACTTTTAAGTGTGATTGTTTTTTTCCTGCATGTCTTCTGCTTTCCTTTTTTTAGGTTTGTTGTTTTCTAAGTTTAGGGATTCTTCTGTTGTGTTTACTTGACTTTTCACAAGTTTCTGCCATTCATCTTCACTAGAAGATGCAGCCAAATGAGCAGTCTCTGTAAAATTGACTGATTGAAAAGGATTTTGTGGCTGAGTTGATTTCAGAGGCTTTGTTGTTACCTAGGAAAGTCCAAACATATTTACCACTGAAATCATTACAGTCATGAATAAGAATGTAAAGAAATTATAAGCCTCCGCAATTGTCTAAGAAGCTGGGTTTTTTGTTGGTTGATTTCCAGTAAATACCACAGTAATTCAGATGCTAGAAAAATGTAGATGTGACTTTGTAGCTCTGCAAGATTGCTAATACATTCTAGGAATGTCATGGAAAAAAGATCTTTTCTAAAAGGTTTTGAGATTACATTGAAAGAAAATGTATTTAAAACAATGAAGATAAAAATCTCTTCTCTTTTCTACTCCCCTTCCCAAACATGTCTTATGTTTTGCATCTTCTATCAAAGACAGGAGGAAATTAAAAATGTTAACGGAAATAAACCACCATATAAAAACTGCCTTTTACTTCATGTTTCCTCTCATGCTTCAGAGCACCATTGTTGAAAAAACAGGAAAGAGCAATGAGGTATTTGGAAGTTGGCATGTTTCCAAGGCACTGCAATAGGTTCTACTTAAAATATTACATTAAAAAAAAATCTTGGATTTTAAGTTTTACTAGTCATACAAGTTATCAAAAATATAGAAATAAAGGCATAAAAAATGATTTATAACATACTATCCAGAAATGCCCTATACTTGGCAACATTTTACTATTGTTACAGCTAGTCTTTTCTATTTTTAGCATATTTGATCATTCTATAGAACTTTATATCTTGTTTTTTCCCCTTGAGCCGTTTCCTGGGTCATTAAAATTTCTTAAACAATTATCACTGACTTCAAAATGCTATCTTTTATAGATGTGGTAATTTTATTGTTTCCTATTATTATTAGACATTTGTTTCCAGTTTAGCTGTATATAAATAAAATTTTAAGTCAACCTATTGAAAAAAATCTTTAATGATTTTCAGACAGATTTCCAGTAAAATCTTGTGTAAAGAAAAATTTCAGAAATACGAACCAGAGTAAGGAAACTAAGGATTTTATCCACCATTAACCATACTGATGTAAATATTTCCCTCTTCAGCTTATATAAACTTAAATTTTTTTTTTCTTTTTGGGTCACATCCCGCGGTGCTCAGGGATTACTTCTGGCTTTTGCACTCAGGAGTCACTTCTGGCAGTGCTCAGGGGACCATATGGGATGCTGGGAATCAAACCCAGGTTGGCCCCGTGCAAGGCAAAACACCTTACCCATTGTGCTGTATCACTCCAGCACCTTAGCTTAAAATTTTTAATCATATTTACATCAGTTTTCTACACTGTGTCAAAAACATTTTAGCATTTCCCTCCAAAAAGCCTTTAAACCAGAGAGACGCACAGGAGTTAAGGGTGCTTCTCTTGCATGCATAATCCTAGTTTGATGCCCAGCAACCTAGGAGTCACTGCTGAGAACAGAGTCAGAAATAGCCATTGAGCACTTCAGAGTGTGAACCTGATTGCCCTCCGTCCCATTTCTTAAAAGAATTTTAGAGAAGGGCTGGAGAAATAGTACAGGTAGGGTGCTTGCCTTGTACACAACTAACCCAGGTTCAATCCCTGGAACTTAAAATGCACCCCCTGAGTGTAGTCGAGTAAGCTAGGTGTGGCCCTCAAAATTTTATCTATTGGTACTATGAAAGACAAATTGAACTTCATTAGATCATTGAATTTTTAAATTCTTTAATGCCACTGTTCCTAAATTTAGGTGACTAAAAGAAATACATAATGCCGTATTTCACACACTCCTTCCCCAAACAGGCTGGATTATATCTCTTTGATTTATACACTGTGACTTTTTCCTGCTGTTTTCCATCAACCTTAATTGTGAAAAATGGTGCCATGTTGCCCTCTTGATATTATTTTGGAGATCAGTTAGGTCTTAAAGCATCCAGATGCATACAGTTCTACAAATATCTGTAGAATTAGCTCACTAAGGTCGGCTTTGCAATATTTTTAATTGACTTACATGTTCTGTGGGAAAAGAAGAATCATAAAAAGTCTTTGTAATTGCATTCCTCTCTTCACTGGGCTCTCCCTTGAGATTCTGATGGATACTTGAGTTATTCAAAGTGTCAGCAACTCTGTTAATGCTGGTAGTATCTGCTTAACAAAAAGGAAATGGCAACAAATGAATTAATTTTCCAGGCCCTCATTTTAGTCCCTGAACTTGTTTTTCTCAGCTCCTATCCTTACACATTAAACAGCACAATTTCTGTTCTTTTTACTTTAAGACTTTGATCTTATATTGACTTTTGAATCAGATAACAAAGTTTCATTATTGCTATTTTCCTAAACCTTAAATGGCACAAATGCCTAACAAAATTAAGAAAAATTAACAGTCCTTATTTTCTTGATTTAGGCATTGCATGCATATTAATGTGATGCGGATTAGCAATGCAGATTAATGTGAAATCTGAACCAACTAAAGGTCAGATTAAAAAAAAAAGATGTAAAGAAATTATAGCAAAAAAAAGCCTAAAAAAGGAATTAACTCTAGTAAGGTCATTCATTGGACTTCTAAAAATGATTAAGATGATTTAGAGAAACTTGTCAGATTTGAAGGTAAAAAGATAACTTTTGGACTACTATAGAGTGTTTCATAAGTTGGATTTATACAGAATTTCAGACATCTCCCTTTCTACCCTTATTTATAACATTAGGAATTAACTTGGAAGTTTGTACCAGAGAAAAGTAAACAATTAGACCAACAAGCACCTTGACTTGGGAAGCACTTGACTAACCAGTACCTGAAAGATTCAATTATATGATAACGATAACTATATTTTAAAAGGAAAATTATAAAATAATTTTTTAGTGTTTTGATGGTTTCTATTTTTCTATGTGCCAGTAAAAATGATAGAAACACTGAATTTACAAAGTTGTCCTTATACAGTCGTTTCAGGCATGTAGTGTTCCAATACCGGAGTGACCTTCCCTCCATCAGTGTCCCCATTTTCCCTGAATCCTATCCCCAACACGCCCCCCCCCCCACCCAGGTACATAACAAATTGACTTTACATTACTTGTTCCAACAAACGTTAAGAAATGGCAAATAGAATGATCAGAAAATCAGGATTAGTTTGTCATTACTATATATATTTTTTCTTTTTTTCTTCTCTCTTTTTTTGTAGGAGTACTGCTATTTATTCAGCCACTGATTAGCTGATTGAATTGTGCATGAACTCCACCTTACTTTTTTTTTTCTTTTTCCATTTTTTATAATTTTATTTATTGAATCACCGTGAGAGCAGTTACAAAGCTTTTGGGTCTAAGTCTCAGTCATACATTGAAACACCCGTACCTTCACCAGTGCCCATTCTCCACCACCAAAAATCCCAGTATACCCCCATCCCACACCCTCCCCCTGCCTGTGAGGCAGATGATTTCTACATTACTCTCTCTCTACTTTGATCACATTCAGTAATTTGACACCAGACCCACCATTATTTAAGATTTTCCCCCAACACTCAGATCTGCTGAAAAGGCAAGAATAGACAATTTGTGTTCTATTGCTGGTTATGAATAACATATGATGTCGTGTGGCTGCAGTAGGGCCATGTAGTTTTGAAATTCTGAAATTTTAACACTTAAATCTTGAGGGATTTCTGCCAAAAGCCACTGGGTTTAGAGATCTGCTCCTGAGTCTCTGGGATCATGGCCATTGAGCAGCTTGATGAGGAGCCAAAGAGGCCATTCGTGGGCGATGACTTGGGGTCTCATTGGGGTGGGGAAGACAGGCCCGGCTCCACCTCCCCCCCCATCCCGTGAGACCCAACAAGTTTCGTCACTGCGGGCCCAAGCCTGACTATCCAATGGCCTCTGGAGGATGACAGCCACCAAGTCGCCAAGAGGGAGCAGGCGGAGGGACAGCACCCATTCCCCCCTGGGGTGGCCCGGCGACAGTAACGTACTGTGGAGTCCGGATGCATTTCTGCCAAACGCCACTGGGTTTTGAGATTTGTTTCTGAGTCTCTGGGATCATGGCCGTTAAGCAGCTTGATCAGGAGCCAGAGAGGCCATTCGTGGGCGATGACTTGGGGTCTCGTTGGGGTGGGGAGGACAAGCCCGGATTCACCCTCATCCCGTGAGGCCCTGTGTGTCTCGTCACTGGGGGCCCAAATGTGACTATCCAGTGGCCTCAGACGGATGGCGGCCACTGGGCCACCAGGGGGAGTAGGCCAAGGCAGGAAACCTATTCCCACCTGGGTTGGCCCAGCACCGGTAACCTACTGCAGAGACCAGACGCATTTCTACCTAAAGCCACTGGGTTCTGAGATTCGTTTCTGAGTCTCTGGGAACATGTCCATTAAGCAGTTCAATCAGGAACCAAAGAGGCCTTGCCTCCAATTATATAGCTGAGCCGGAGGTGGTTTGTGGGTGTGTTTCCCACATACCTAACTTTTGGCCGTTTACTTTCTTGGTAAACTTTGCCCCAAGTTTTTGGGGTCTAGCCAACGGCACAGCAGCAATTTTGGGGTATCTGGAAGTCTGAAGGCGCCATGAGGCTGCTGATGCACTTGCCTCACAGGTACAGATTGACCTGCTGGCAGCACCATACCCCCATTGTCATTACTATATTTTATACTACATAAATAATCCTTTAAAACAACATAATGTTTATTCTCATTTACATAAATTCTCAACTCTGGAGTCTATATTGCATTGTTTTATATTTTGATCTCATGGTAATAATCATGTCTTACCTGTCTTTAATAAAACTTTTAAAGAAATTCTGTGCTAATATATTTTGGAGTTTACATGAAATAGGTAAGGACAATTTACATAACTTTTCACCCTGCACTTAATTTTGGTTTGCAAAGTTGTTCATGATGACTTATTATAGGCCTTCAATATTCCAACACCAATCCCACCACCATTATCTTCTCCCCTCCACCATTGTCTCCAGTTTTCCCAACCACCCCTCAAATCTACCCTCATAGCAGGCCCACAATTATTTTATATTGATAGTGATCAATAAATTGCTAACAATCAAAAAATGGCTTTAGGGTGTGGATGTGACTGCCAGGGCTTCCAGAAGTATAGGGAGGGAGAGTAGGGGAGGTAGCCCATCCCCACTCAGAGAAAGCCTGGATATTTGAGTTTCAACCTGCATATCTGAATTTTCAGCAGGTTAATTTCTGGGTGAGGCTTAGTCCCGAGACAAGGAGTCCTGCCAGAGGCATGGCAGCGATTTTGCAGATTGTGGGAGCTCTGTTTGGCTGAGGCTCTGTTTGGCTAGGCTTCAGTTTCCTTTTTTCAAAGATGCCTGACCCTGCTTCAGTCAATGGTTGATCACATACACTGTGATGGTCCCCTAAGTATGAGAGCTTAAGTGTGCTGTAGGCTATACACACACTTAGTTTGCACGATACTGACAGCCACATGACAAAATTATGAAAAACCCTGTTAAACTTCATATTTAATGTCATTTAAGTTCCCTGAAATCTAAGTGTCTTTATCAAATTTGATGAGATTGCTATTAGCTTTCTCATAACAACTTCCTCATAATTCTTTTTTGTTTTGTTTTGGGGCCACACCTAGTGGTGCTCAGAGGTTATTCCTTCTCTGTAATCAGGAATTACTCCTGGTAGTGCTCAGGAGACCATATGAGATGCTGGGGATCAAGCCCAGGCCAGCCTCATGCAAGGCAAAAATTCTCTACCAGCTGTAATATCACTCCAGCTCCTAATTCTTTTTATTCCCCCCGCCCTAATTCTTTTTAGACAAAATGATCCAGCACCAATCCCAGTGTCAACTTCCAACAGTGTTTCCATGTTCCCTCTTACCCTCCCATCCCCAGCCTGCCATCTTGATAGGCACCTTAATAATTCTTAAACTATCTGTATAATTTATACAGAATCTGTACATGGTATGTTATTTTTTAAAAAAATAGCTTTAAAAGAGTATGTACTCAAGATACTCATCACCCTGCTTCAATACCTGTCTTAAGTCACATATTTCATCCACTTAACCTCACCCCATTTTATTCTGGAGGTTTCTGCTTTTGAGGCAATGCCCAGCAGTGTTGAAGGTTACAAGAGGGGGTGTCACTCCATTGGTGCTTAGAGGAATAAGTGCTGGGGATTGAATTTGGGACTCCTATACACTAAGGATTTGCTCAATTTAACTTTGGGCTATTTTCCTGAACCTTTCATTTTTGGGCCACCCCCTGCTGTGTGCTCTGTGCTTGGCAATCACACCTGGCTTGACACAGGATCACATGGGATGCCTGAGACTGAACCCTGGTCCTCTGCATGCAAGGCAAGTGTTTTCCCTGCTGTCCTGTTTCTCTTCCTAAACTTTTTATCCTGAAGTGTTGCAAGACAACTGAAAAGGCTATTCCCCGGAATATTTATCATTTAAATATTAATACATGTGCTTTAATAACTAAGGGATTCAAGTTTTGTATGATAAAAAACAATGGTGTTGTTTCTCAACATTTATACAGCCAATCTGTATCAGTTACTGTTGAAGAGACGTAAAAATATAAAATTAAGGAACAGAGAAAATTATGGGAAGAAAGTGACAGCATAAGAAAAAAGCTTAAATGTGGTCCTGAGAGAAGAAAATTTGTCTTATTTTTAACTAGGAATAAAAGAAATAAACATGCACACTGGCATAAGCCTGACCAACATCACTACATTAGAGTAAGATTCAGATTAGGTAGGTTGTAATTGAAAAGAGCTGACCTGGTTTTATGGTGGTTTTGTTATTTTTAGCTTCTTTGATGAAAAGAAAATTTTTAATTTTTGGATTTTAGTTTTAAAATTTTAATCTTCAGAGTTAGATGAAAAATTCATTTGTATTCAAGACCTTTCCAACTTTTACAATATACATTTATATGGTATATTTTATATGTAGGTAAATAAAGTCATTGCTATATGAATGTTACCATTTTAAAACTATTTGAGAACTAAATTTAACAGGAATAAAAAATATAATATGAAAATAATTAAAACACACACCCTATTTTCTTACCTAGTTCAATATTCTTCCTGATACCAACAACACCATCTTTTCAAATTGTCAGTGAAAATCTTTGTTTTCTGATGAGCCTATTGAATTTTTTTTTGGAGGCGGGGGGTCACACCCTGCAGTGCACAGTGGTTTTTTTATTCATGACTCTACACTCAGGGATCACTTCTGGCAGTGTTCAGGGGATCATATGGGATGCTGGGGATCGAACCCAGTGACTGCTCCAGTCCCATATTAATTTCTCATTTAACAATGAAATACTACAAGTTTAAGTGCTCACAGTTTGACTTTCAATTTGATTTATTTTTGACTAAGGACTGGGGTCTGAAAAATTCACATATACTGGAATTTTCTCAGTTTTTTTAAATCTGAAGTTGAAAGATCAAAGGGTGACCTTCCACTTCTGTTTACTAAATCTCCAGATGACTTTATGTGATGTGAACATGATTCTTCCAGCTGTCTTTCACTGTGATTTTTCCTGAAACAATGTCATTTAATAACTCCCCTTTCTCTTCATTATTTAACAATGTATGTTTTCTTTCATTAATATTCACGGAAAGGGAAAGGTCAGTTTTTGAGGTTTCAGTTATTTGCTTCTCATCAATCTGACACTATAGGAAAACTAATTTTGTTAACATTTTTGTGTCAACAATTTTCTATCTTTGGCTTGTGAAGCATGTGTAATCTTGCTAACCTGAAGAGGAAAATGGTGACAATGCTTTGTAAATATCCAGAGCAGTTCTTAAATGGACTGTTTTGCATATCATTCAGGCTTTTCCATATAGTTTTTTCTCCAGGGTGTGAGTTGGACTTCACCAGCATAGGCATAATACTAACATTTTTATCAGATGTACTTCCAGATTATCATTGAAAGCAGGAGATGAAATCAGGTGACTGGGGCCAGAGCAATTATACAGTGGGTAGAGTACTTGGCTGCAAATGGCTAACCCAGGTTCAATCCCCAGCATCCCAATGGTTTCCTGAGCACCGCCAGAAGTAATTCCTGGGTGCAGAGCCAGGAGTAACCCCTGAGTATCACTAATGTGGGCCAACCTTTCTCACCCCTGGTCCCCCAGAAAGAAATGCTGTGGCTGACTGCAATGTCACAGGAAATAATTAGTTGAGGTTTCTCTAAACTATCATGCAAGACTTGCTGAAAATCTGAAATTTCTTTGAATATGTGCTACATCCACTTTTTAAAAACAAATAGTTTAATTTGTTTTGTTTTACACTATCATCTAACAAAAAATTTCTTGAATACTATAAATTTTTTTAAAACATTTAACAGAATTCTTTTTTATATGCAGAGATAATTTAAATCTGCTTTGGTTCGGTCATTATTTGTAATTTCCTTCTCTGTATTTTCTTGAGTCCCTGGAAGCAATCCAACCTGCTGTTTAATGATTCAATTTCAGCAACATCTATTTTATGATCTGTATTGTGAGTTATCTCATTTTAAGATACTATTAAATAATTTGTTATTTTCATTCTCCAGATGTACATCTAAATGGTAAAAATCCAATTCTTCAGTTCTTTCTAGATATATCTTTTATGTTTTATTAGTTCACCTGTCATTAAAAAGGACATTTCATATTTTAAAATCTATACACCCATCGTCTTCCACACATACCTTGTCTTTGATTTCTACAGTAACTGTCTAAAAAAATCAGTAACATTAAAGGCTTGTCTGTGACTAATTCTTTTTCTATAAAAAGGGTTTTGCTTAGAGAAATTTCACTTTGATTTCCATCTTGGGGTACCACAGTATTAATTTCCTTTATGGAGTGGTTTTCAAGAACCTGTATATTTCATGATGAGAATAATAAATTTTTATATAGTAAAGTCTGACTTTCACAAGATTGTTTAAAACCTATTTTATATTAAAAAATTACCTTTAAGTACTTCATCATACAACTACCACGAATATAATACCAATTTTAGTTAAAAATTGAGTTCCCTTTTTCATAAGCCTATATTTTGTGTTCTAAAACTTCAACTCTACTCATATTAAATTTTTATTTTCTGGGATCAAAAGTATTTTTAGTTTAAAATGGTGAAAGTTAAAAATATTATAAGATGTTTTTTATTCCTGTAGTCTTTGACTTTAAATAGGAACATAAAGTATAATTTCATATAACCTCAGCTGATTACATAAAAATTTACCTTAATTATTATACTATAATTTCTAATACTATCTAGATCTATAAGTTGCTAGCTGGCTTCTTTGAGACAGATAATCATAACAATTATTCACTACCATGCAAGTATTTTTTAACTTTGGAATGGTTTTGGACAAGTGTACGGAATATCTACTTAAGACAATTTTTATTCAATTGAATTTTATTCATTCAATTTTTTAAAAATTTCAGCATAGTTAAGGTCATCTAGAATACAAAGTTCAGTATTTAGAAAGTTTTTTCAGTCCAATCATTCTCTCTGCAATATCTCCACCAAGTGGCTGTTGAGTCTAGGTTTTGAATACTGAAAGAATACCTTCATTAAAAAACTCTTTCAAATAGATGAATTAATAAGATCATAAAAAAATTATTTTAATGAATACAAAGGGTCATTTGAATTCAGAAAAGTCCAACAGATCTGGGTATTCATCAGAAGGTTATTGATAGCCCAGAGAATAGTCCCAAAAAGGCAGTAAGGACAAACGAGAATGCAAAGAACCAAGGAATAAATTGTAAGAAAGGAAGGCAGAAATGTACTTTCCCGAAAAATATTGACTATAAGGAATAGACCACAGAAAGCCTGTTTTATTAAGACATAATCAAGTGGAAAAGTTTTCACAAATTAGCACTACTATCCTTAAAGCAAATATTGTAACTGATAAATTAATTTTCCTAAATTTCAGCCCTTTGGCAGGTGGGAAGTAAGGGTAGCTAAATGTATAATTTAAAAAATAACTATAATATTAGATTACCCTCTATAAGAATTTCTTCCATATTTGGGCCTCCTCTCTTTTCCTCCTTTTCTTTATATTCAGCATCTGGATGAAAACTCACAGTATTTTCTTCCCTTATTTCTTGCTCAGAGTTATATTTTCCTATGACAGTGTTTTCTAATTTTTCCATTGCTGTTTCTCCATTTTCAGTATTTACTTCTGAATGCACCTAGTATAAAATAGAAAAGATTTAATGTATGAATAGGTTGCTGAAAAATATAAAACATTTGAACAAATTGCAAATAAATTTTTCAGTCATTAATTTGAAAGCCAGATGATCTTTTTGTTTGTTTGTTTGGGGGCCATACTTGATGGCACTCTGGGCTTATTTCTGGTTCTGTGCTTAGAGGTCACTGCTGGTGGGGCTGGGGGAACATGTGTGCTGTCGGCTGGCCACATACAAGGCAAGCACCTTAACCCCAATACTATCTCTCCAGCACCCCCCCCACACACACCCCCAAACACAACTATATTTTCTTTACAAAATGCATACTATTATTTGTAAAGAGGTAAAGGTAAAGGTAAAGGCCCTCCCGTTGATCGTCGATTTGCTCGAGCGGGCCCAGTAACGTCTCCATTGGAGACTTTGTTGTTACTGTGTTTGGCATATCGAATAGTCTCGGTAGCTTGCCGGGCTCTCCGAGAGGGGCGGAGGAATCGAACTCGGGTCGGCCATGTTGGCCGCTTGTAAGGCGAACGCCCTACCGCTATGCTATCGCTCAGCTAGCATATACACACACATTACCATACACATTGTATTGAACTATCCTTTGTATTGTATTGAATTGCAAGGCAGTTCATGGATGCAAGTTGTTTTTAAGTATTTGGTACTTTTATGTATCTTTAAGAGAATAACTCAGTATCTTTTCTCATCTTGTGAGCATGAAAACATGCTTACAAGAGAGCATTGCGCTAGGCTTGAGGATACATGAATGAACAAAATACAAAATATAGTCCCTATACTCAAAAATCCAGAGAGGAAAAACAGAAAAAAATAGGCAAATTTTTAAAGAATCCAAATCATAAGCCATTATATTAATTTTTATAAATCACTAGTAGGATATACCTACAGGTCTGGAAGAAAAAAAACACTAAATTAAAGGAGGAGAGTATGAGGCTGAGATACCTCAGGAGTGCTAGAATAATCAATGTGATATCAAAGAGATGAAAAGAGGTGAGAAGACTCATGAGTTGCTTCTGAGTCCCCAAAAGGACTTGGTGGATGATTGGACATGAGAGAAAAAAGTCAAAGTTGATTTGCAGAACTCAGATTAAGTTAGATACTTAGATGGTGACTAGTTAGATTAAGATTAAGTTAGATACCTAGTTAGATTAAGATTAAGTTAGATACCTAGATGGTGACCAGTGAATGTCATGCACTAAACTAGAAAACAGAAGTAGCAACAGGTCTGGAGGAAAATTTTTAGCTCAGTACAAACTAGATGGATTTGATGAGTTAAAATAAGGCATTAAGGTAGAGATGTTTAATAAATAATTAGAAGTATGAATTTGGAGTTTATGAAAGAAAATCAAACTGTAAATATAGATTTGAAAATAACAGAGAATGGCACGGAAGGAGAGCATACAAGACAGAAAGAACCCAGGTTTAGAATCAATCTCAAAATTACATTGCCTCACTTCTATGTTTTAGTAATCTGAAACTAAATCGAGCTCAAATTTAAGGCAAGGAAATTACAAAAAGATTATGAGTACCCTGTGGTGGAAATTACTTAAGATCATCTTAGAGGCTATTTCTAATATTTGAAATTAAAAACTTCTGATTTTTAATATTTTTAAATATGATGATCAGATTCAATTATATATAAGTATACAGCTCCTGGTTGCTCAAGTAATAACAATAACTTATTCTCTTAAAAGAAAAAAATGTATGAGAGGCAGGGGGGAAAGTAGATGATTGCTAATGTAATTGAGGGTAAATCAAAGGGTATTCAAGCAAGAGATAGTGTAAAATGTGTTAGAGGAACTAACTGGAAGCAGCAATCATTGGAGTAGTGAAGCCAGACTGTCCAGTCTTAAAGAATGAACAGGAAGTAAGGAGTAAGATGTGCATACAGACCAGTCTTTCAAGACATGTCTCTGTAAGAGGAACCAAATTAACTTTCTTGTGGTTTACGATAAAAATGGGAAGGACATGAACATATTTCATTGCAAATGAGAACACAGTAAATAATAATTCACTTAATCACTTAATCACTTAACTTCCCGTTAGTCGTCGATTTGCTCGAGCGGGCGCCAGTAACGTCTCCATTTGTCCCTGTCGCGTGCTAGTGTAGCCCAATGGCATCTCTTCGCTCCGGGAACATGGAGGGCCTCAAACCGATCGTTCATGACCTTGACAAAGAAGTCTGACCATCTGGTAGGTGGGCGGCCACACGGTCTCTTGACATCCCGTGGAATCCAATCAGTAACAGCTCTAGTCCAACGGTCGTCTTTAAATCTCATTACGTGACCAGCCCATCTGATTTTCGACACCTTGGCAAATGAGACAGCGTCCCTGATCCTTGATCGTCGACGGATGTCAGAACTCCGGATTCGTTCTCTCATTTGAGTGAAACGTGATATTCCAAGCAGAGCTCTTTCTATTCTTCTTTGGGAGACCTGAATGGCGTTCTCATCTTGTTTGCGTAGGGCCCAGGTCTCTGAGGCATATGTTAATGCAGGAAGAACAGTGGAATCAAAGAGGTGTGCCCGGAGCCGGAGGTTCTTCGTCCTCTTAGCTATTTCTTCGACGTTCTTGAAGGCGTTCCAATTCACAAAAGAAGAAATCTGACAAATTTGTGCTTAATTCTGTCCCATTCATATCATCACCAAAATAATCTCCAAAAATTTGGGGGCCGGGAGATGGTTCAGTGGTTAATGCATCTGTGTTGCAAGCATGATGCTCTGAGTCTGATGCTTAGTACTCACTATGCACCAGGGGCAATACAGACAGCTCTGCTATATGTATCAGGCATCATCTGGCTGTCTGAGATCTCAAGCACCACAAGCAATTTCAAGCCTTACTACAGCCAGGTGTGCAAGCACTGTAAATATAAATACACCCCTCGTCCCACCCAGCAAGCAATGTAACTAAAGAAATAGGTATGAGCACTTACTCAGGAGTATGACCCCTAATGAGCATTATTACCAGAACATGTGTGAGTGCCACAACTAAGTGATTCCTGAAGAGAACCACAACCACAAATATGTGAGGATCACAACAAAGCATGTGCAACCTCTGGTCATTGCAACATCAAAGGAAAGAAGGGGAAGGAGGAAAAATAAAATGAAAATGAAAACTGAACCACTTTATTTCCCTGCTATTATTTTTATTCCATGGGGGGGGGGGGGCGGGGCGGACAGGGTACCAAGAAGAGAAGTAGAGTGTGGGAAGCCCAGCGGCCACTCTCTGCAATACTTGGTCAATCACCCAGTCAGTCAATCCTCAGGCCCAGCAATGTGGTGCTGCTATGGTGCTGCTCATCTCATGTCCAGGAGTGCTAGGGACCACCAGGGCCTCAGCCAGTTAGTTAGTACTCGCAGTCCCCCCTAGTTATATCTGACTATGTTTGCGGGTCGCCAGGACTATCCACAGCAGTGTTTGGGAGACAATGAAGTGTTAGGGAGGGAATTCAGGTCATTTTACATACAAGGCATCTGTCCCTCATCCCTTTCCTGCTTTTTAAAAACCCAAAACAGTAAAGCTGAAAACAAAATTCTGTGACACAGTAAAGATAAAAATTCATTAGAACCACTATAGTATGTCTTCTGCATTTGTTTTTAACCTCTTTACCCATGCTATTCCATCTACTTGAAATACTCTAAATCTTACATTATTAAATTTTTTTTCTTGTCCTTACCCCTGCCTTTGTGTTATTATTGTTGCAGTGACCAAAGGTCACACATACATTCTAGTGCTCACATACTTGGTTGTGATGTTTGCACACCAGCTGCAGTGGTTGCCAGAGATTGCACACCCCACTTTTAATGCTTGTGCATACTTGCTTGAGGTGTGCCAAGGATCATTATTTTGTTATGCCAAATTGAAGAGCTTCTAGGATTGTACTTGGACATCTGGGAGTGATGCCAGGAACCAAACTCAGAGACTTACAAGCCTCAGGTTTGCGCGTCTCAGGAATTGTAGGGCAATCCCTGGATCCCTGGAGAATTCTTACTTTTTAATAACTTGCTCAAAAATCTTTTGTTGTATGAGATTTTCCCTCAGTAGTCCCTCCTTACCTAAAAGAGTTGATTGCTCCTTCTTTTGTGCCACTACCACATCCACTGTACCATACTGAAAATATGCCACTATTTAAGGACTTTTTATCCTACACCACAAATACTCTTCTACTACACTGGAAGTTTCCTTAAAAATCATGTTTATTTTTAGTATGTTTCTTTTTTGAACTACACATGATGGTGCTCAGGGGCTACTCCCAGGTCAGTGCTGAGTAACCATGCAGTGTCAGGTTTCAAACCCAGGACTCTGGAAGAATAATAAAAAGTCTTTTTACTGTTGTACTTCCAAAAGTGTATGGCATATAGACAATATTTAATAAATGTTTATTAAATAACCACATAAAGAATGAGATAAATGAGTTAACATGCACATCATAAAATATATCCCCTTTGAAAATAATATGTATATTATAAAAGCAAAAATAATTGCTTTAAGAAGGAGATACTCACAAATCTCTTTAAAATAGCCTATCAGAAGCTACAGGCTGTACTCAGCAGTAGCGCACATTCCTTGTATATATGTAATGCTTGGTTCTGTCCCCAGCCCTGAAAGATGCATGCTTTCCTTTAACATTTACTCTAGGAATGTTAAAACCTGTATTTCTAGTCACAGGTGATTAATACATTCTGAACTTGCTTTCCTGCTATGCACGGTAGCACTGTGCTCCCGCTGTTCATCGATTTGCTTGAGTGGGCACCAGTAATGTCTCCATTGTGAGACTGGTTGTTACTGTTTTTGGCATATTAAATACACCATGGGTAGCGTTCCAGGCTCTCCGTGCGGGTGGAATACTCTCGGTAGCTTGCCGGGCTCTCCAAGAGAGATGGAGGAATCAAACCCGGGTCGGCCATGTGCAAGGCAAACACCCTATCTGCTGTGCTATCATTTCTGTTATAATATTTAAAAACTAGATAAAATATATGAAACAAAAGAAGAGAGATAACAAAAGGAAATGCCCTGCCACAGAGGTAGGGTAGGTTGTGGGGGATGGGAGATGGGAGGGAAACTGGGATCAGTGGTGGTGGAAAATGGGCACTGGTGGAGGGATGGGTATTCGATCATTGTATAACTGAAACCCAAGCACAAAAATTTGTAAGTCTACTACTGTACCTCATGGTGTTTCACTAATAAAAATTAAAAAAAATATATATGAAATAATAGTTTTTCAGGCTATGTTCTACATAGAGTGAAAAAAGGTGCATTCCTGGGGCTGGAAATATAATACAGTGAGTAAGGCACTTGCCTTGTACACGGCCAACCCAGTATGCTCCCCAGTACTCCAGTAATCTGAACCCTACCAGGAGTGATCCTTGAGTGCAGAGCCAGCACTGCCAGGTATGGCCCAAAAGACAAACTGCCTTTTCTGACAGGAAAGAAATGAGATTAACCCTGTGGCTACCCTGCCTTCCAGCTTGGACACTGTACACAACTATTTGTACCACCGTGTTTTGAGAGACAGATTGTCTGGAGTAATTTCTCATCTCATAAAGCAAAATACTCTAAGTTAAAATTCAGAGATCAGAGATATATGAAATCAAAGTCTGGACAGGTTGAGGTAACAGTAATTAACAAGGCAAAACAATAAAGATGGAATTACTGTGTAAAAATGAGCCTCAGGGGCTTGAGAGATATAGTACAGCAGTTAGGGCACTTGCCTTGCTTGTCACCAACCCAGATTCAATCTCCAGCACCCAATATGATCCTGCAAGCTCTTCGAGGAGTAATTCCACAGCACAGAGGCAGGAGTAACCCCTGAGCACTAGCCGGGTGTGGTTCCAAAACAAAATGTAAAAAGAGCCCCAGCATCTGCATATTCAGTCTGATGTTGACTATTAAGCCTAGTGAAAAATAACTTCCAGAGAACTGCAAGCTGAATGATTCCCCCAAATCACACAGATCTGGGAAGTCAGAGTTTCAACTAGACAGAGTGTAAAGATCTCATCAAATACTAGGGCATTCTAAAAAAAAAACCTAGAAAAAATACTAGGGTATTATATAGATATCCTAAAATATTCATACCTTACCTAGCCTTAAACTAACGCTACTCTAGATTCACCCTTAAATTTAAAATCAGGTCTCAAAAGGATGAAATTTATTTACAAGTAGATGTCAGATTTCAACACTCTTAGAAGAAAACAAAATAGAGAATCCGCAACGTAAAATGCAGTTATCATTCATAAAAAATTATGAGATAGGTTGTGACTGAGGAGACAGTTTATGCTCAAGTAGCAGAGCTAAAGCCTAGCATGGAGGAAGTTCTGAGTTTGGTCATAATGTCACATGTCTCCTTCTGCTCTCCAGTAGGCCAAGGTCCTCCCAGTACAGCTGAATGTGACCCCTTTTAAGTACTAGATAGTTACAGGTGGAAGTACTCATTTTATAAACAGAAAAATTAATTAAAAATAAACAGAAATAACAGGAATAATAGAACTAGCAAAGGAATTTTTAAATAGCCATAATAAATGTTCAAGTAATTAAAATACAAAAGATACATATAATGAAGTGAAATATATACATGTACTTTATGTATGTATATATTTAATTCTATATATAGAAATATATAATATGTATAATATAATACATATATATGTATAATATAATATGTATAATATCTATAGCTTGCCAGGCCCTCCGAGAGGGACGAAGGAATTGAACTCCAGTCAGCCGCGTGCGAGGCAAACACCCTATCCATTGTGCTATCGATCCAGCCCCTAGCCAATCAGGGCAATCAAGCCCAATATATCAGGATCCTCCGTGAGCTGTATTGCGGATTCACTACCAGGATCTCACCATTCTACAAAGAAGTGATCGTTGATGTCAAGAGAGGGGTGCGGAATATCACGTTTCACTCAAATGAGAGAAAGAATCCGGAGTTCCGACATCCGTCGATGATCAAGAATCAGGGACGCTGTCTCGTTTGCCAAGGTGTCAAAAATCAGATGGGCTGGTCACGTAATGAGATTTAAAGACGACCGCTGGACTAGAGCTGTTACCGACTGGATTCCATGGAATGTCAAAAGACCACGTGGCCGCCCACCTACCAGATGGTCAGACTTCTTCATCAAGATCATGAACGATCGGATTGAGGCTCTTCATGTTCCCGGAGCGAACAGATGCCATTGGGCTACACTAGCACATGACAGGGACAAATGGAGACATTACTGGTGCCCGCTCGAGCAAATCGACGACTAATGGGAAGTTAAGTGATTAAGTGATTAAGTGATCGATCCAGCAGCAGACCATGGCCACCTCCAGTCTGGCCACCGCCAAGCTCATGCTTGTGCACCTAACCAACCTGAATTTCTAGATACCAAAAATAAATGGGAATTCCATAAATGAAACATGTAATTAAAAAAAAATCACCGAATAGGGGCTGGAGCAATAGTACAGTGGGTAGGGCATTTGCCTTGCATTTGGCTGATCCAGGTTCCATTCCCAGAATCCCTGAGCATCACCAGAAGTAATTCCTGAGTACAAAGACAGGAGTAACCTCTGAGCATCAATGGGTGTGATGCAAAAAGAAAACAAAGTAACTGAATAGACTTTCTAGATGTAGACATTTTTAAAAACTTCTTTTTTGTCTTATTTTTGGGAATGCTGCTCAAGGCTTATTTTTGGCTTTGCATTCAGTAGAATATATGGGATGCTAGCAGTCAAACTTAGGTTGGCTACATCTCTCTCTCTCTCTCTCTCTCTCTCTCTCTCTGGCCTCTCTCTCTCTCTCTCTGGCCCCAATTTAGACATTTTAGACAAAAGATAGATAAATTTCACAACTAAACAATGAAAACAACCCCAAAGGAGAGAGAACAAAAGAATTCAAAACTGTAGCCTATTACTGCACTCAGTAGCACTGTAGCACATTACTGCACTCAGTAGCACTGTAGCACTGCTCGAGCGTGCACCAGTAACGTCTCCATTGTGAGACTTGTTGTTACTGTTTTTGGCATATCAAATACGCCACGAGGAGCTTGCCAGGCTCTGCCATGTGGGCGGAGGAATCGAACCTAGGTCAGCCTGTGTGCAAGGCAAACGCCCTACCCACTGTGCTATCGCTACTGCACTCAGTAAAATAGATAAATTATGGAATTGACCTAGGTGTCCAACAACAGATGAATGGATTATGAAGATCTGGTATATATACAGAAGGGAATACTATGCAGTTGCAAGGAACGATGAAATCATGCAATTTCCTGCAACGTGGTTGGAATCGGAAGATATGTTGAATGAAGTAAGCCTGAAGAAAGACAAACACAGAATGATCTCACTTATCTGTAATATACAGAATACAGGATGAGAAAATGTACTGTAGTTAAAGGGGGATTCCTACATCATCTTTGAGAGGTTTAGAGACGACAAAAAAGGAAAGAAATCAAGGTGAGGCGAGATAACAAGAAGTAATGGGTGAACAGGCATTAGGGCTTCCATTAAATTGGTGATATGGGTGAGTGGTATAGCCACACATTCCAAACACAGACTCAACAAAACTAAAAACATGAGAGCTAAGCTGCAATCACTGAAGATTTGTCAAGTTGAAAGGCAGGGATGGGGCAGGGGTAGGGGTGGGGAGAAACAGAAAACATAAATAAGGGAGAAAATAGATGATAATCCTAATTTCTTTAATAGTTTTTATACCCCCCAACAAATTTGAATTACCTGAAACTTGTCTGCCTCAAGCTTTTGATGACATAATTCATTATAACTTTCTTGTAACTTAGTATGAGTTTTTGTAAGTGATGACAACTCGCTTTTAATCTCCTTGATTTCCTCATTAAGTTCTTCAACCTAATAAAAATTTAACCAAAATGAGCAGGTTTGTTGCTTTGTATGAAAATTTTCTTTGCACGAGTTTCTGAAATAGTAAAAAAAAATCTCAAGGTAATTATTAAGGGCTACCATATACTGAATTGGGCTGAGTATGTAATACAATTTAATAATCATAAAAATACTGAGTTTTTTTTTTTTTTTTTTGCTTTTTGGGTCACACCCGGCAATGCACTGGGGCTACTCCTGGCTCATGCACTCAGGAACTACTCCTGACGGTGCTCAGGGGACCATATGGGATGCTGGGAATCAAATCCTGGTCAGCCGCGTGCAAGGCAAACGCCCTACCCGCTGTGCTATTGCTCCAGCCCCAATATTTTTAATTCTCCAAAAGATAAGAAATGTAAGTCTTACAGATGTTAGGAGTCTCTCCTGCTTAATAATAGGTTAATACTTTTTCTTGAAACAGTTTTTCTATTTATCCTACTTTATTTTTTAAATCATACCTCTCCTCTCTTACCTGAAACACTTTATCTTTCTCTCTTTATATATATATATACATATATACACATATATATATATCTATCTAGATGTTGACATTGTTCAAGGCTTTCTTCTTTAGCCCTTTTTTCTAAATGTTCCACCCAATCCAAAGATTATCTTATATATCTAAATCTTCACTTTTCACCTTTATTCTAATAAATCTTTAAATCTACACATTACCTACCTTCTAGTCTCCAAATATTAAGTCACAATTCCAAATGCATGATAAACATTTCAAGTTAGATGTCCTAATGTCCTGTAGATACTATGGATTTAATTGTCTATTTAATTGTCTATTTTAATTGTCAGTCTATAGTCTACTTTCAGCATGCATCTCCCATCCTGGGAGGATCCCCCCAACACCCTTTTCTTGGTGCTCTCTTCTCTATCTGAGCTGCCTTTTCCCCTAGCATGTGCGGCTGGCCTCCAAGCAATGGAGTGAACCTCCTGGTACCTATCTTGGCTATTCTCCTATTTTGTTACTTTATGTTCCCCACATGAATGCAATCTTTCTATGTCTGTCCCTCTCTTTCTGACTCATTTCGCTTAGCATGATACTTCCCATGTAGTACCACTTGTATGTAAATTTCATGACTTCATTTTTTCTAACTGCTACATAGTACTCCATTGTGTAGATCTACTAAAGTTTCTTTAACCAGTCATCTGTTCTCGGGCACTTAGGTTTTTTCCAGATGCTGGAGGCCCTGAGTTTTATTCCTGGCACCTCAAACAAAGAAAGTTGAAAAGGGCCGGGAAGGCAGCTTGATGGGCTAGAGTGCATGCTTTGTATTCTTGGGCCCCAGTTTAGACTGCAGCACTACATGGTCCCCTTAACAGCATGAGAAGCAACCACTGGACACTGAGCAAGGAATTAGTTCTTAAGCGCTGCTGATATGTAAGCAAAATCTAGGAAAAGCAAAGCCAAAGAGAAATAGTGGAAAACCTATATAGAGAGGCTTGTACTTGACTATCCTATGTTCAATTAACTCTGGAATCCTTTATGATCCCTGAGCCTGCCAGGAGTGATTTCTGGGCAAAGTCAGAAGTAATTTTAAGTACTGCTGAGTATGGCCCAAAGCCCAACTCCCAAAAAACAAAATAGAAAATTTACGTAGGCATACATCTAAACCCTTAAGAAAACAGCCATTTAATCTTTATTTATAGATAATTTTATTCATATTTATATTTACTTAGAGAGCTCTCCACTAAAATCAAATGTTTAATTTTCATTATTTGAATGGGGGAGGAGGGTGGCAGTTTTGGTCCACATCTGGCAGTGCTCTGTGCTCAGGGATGACTCCCGGTGGAGCTTAGGTGGTCCCTACATGTAATGACAGGGACCCAAGTAGGATTGAACCAAAAGACTTACAACCTCTATTATCTCTCTAGTCCTGCTTAATTTTTTAATCCAATTTTTCTCCATTTCAGAAAGGTATGATTGTGGTCTCAAGGGAAATCAAATGTTTTGGCTTCTTAGATTATTAACTATTCTTTTTCTCTATGCATGGATGACATACTTAAGTATATGTTCTATTTTCACTGCTTTGTTTTCCTTATCATGACATTATCATTTCAGTGGTCTTTTAAACATAAGGAATAAGAAGGAAGTGTTGGTATACAATGGAGACCAGCTGAAGCTAAAATGAACATTTGCTTGTTGCTTAATGATTTGTTGTTTTATGAGTCTGCAGATTATTAAGCAAATTTTTGGTATTTTTTATAACTACAAAATATGTTTTGAAATTTGGGTAAATCTTATAAAATAATCATAAAAACCCATTGTTTCTAAAATAAAAATCAGGAGTACAATTTAGCAGGAAATGAATTAAAAACATTAAGAATGAGGTCAGGGATACAGTTCAGTGGTAAAGTGAGTGTCTTTCATGTGTGACCTAGACAGCATGACAAAAAAAAAATAAGAAGTCAAGAACCATATATTAAACTTAAAGCATTTACAGAAAATGTTATCAATGGTATTTAAAATTATATTTGTATTTTGTTATACTTGTATTTACAAATATTTTATTGTAGTAAAGGTAATATACTCTATAATAAATATATTAATGTTAATGATCTTGGCATACATTTATCACACCTCACCACTACCAAAGACCCATAGCATAATTATATAACATATAAATAATATAAAATATATATTAATAGCACGGTGCTCCTGTTGTTCATCGATTTGCGTGAGCGGGCCCAGTAACATCTCCATCGTGAGACTCATTGTTACTGTGTTTGGCATATTGAATATGTCACGGGTAGCTTGCCAGGCTTTGCCGTGCGGGCAAGATACTCTCGGTAGCCTGCTGGGCTCTCCGAGAGGGGTGGAGGAATCGAACCTTGCTCGGCCGGGCTGGCTGCGCACAAGGCAAACGCCCCACCGCTGCGCTATAATCTGGAAAAAACTTGAGTGCCTGAGAACAGATGACTGGTTAAAGAAACTTTGGTACATCTACACAATGGAGTACTACGTAGCTGTTACAAAAGATGAAGTCACTAAATTTACATACAAGTGGTACTACATGGAAAGTATCATGCTAACTTAGAACACCATTTTAATCTCCCAAAATTAGTTTCATAAATTCACGGTGATTTTGTATTGTGATAATTCTTATAAAGAATATATCATTGTATCACTGTCATCCCATTGTTCCATCGATTTACTCGAGCAGGTGCCAGTAACGTCTCTATTCATCCCAGCCCTGAAATTTTAGCAGCCTCTCCTTACTGATCTTTCCCAACCATTGGAGGCTCTTTCAGGGTCAGAGTAATGAGACCTGTTATAGTTACTGGTTTTGGCATATTGAATACGCCACAGGGAGCTTGCCAGTCTCTGCCTGTGCAGGTGGGATACTCTCAGTAGTATCTTGGGATACTCATAAAGAATGTAGCACTGTCCTCCCATTGTTCATTGATTTGCTCGAGCGGGCCCAGTAATGTCTCCATTATGAGACTTTGTTGTTACTGTGTTTGACATATCAAATCCATCACGGGTAGCTTGCCAGGCTTTGCCGTGTAAGCGAGATACTCTCGGTAGCTTCCCGGGCTCTCCAAGAGGGGCAAAGGAATCAAACTCAGGTTGGCCGGGTCAGCTGCTTGCAAGGCAAATGCCCTACCCGCTGTGCTATTGTTCCAGTCCATAAAGAATGTAAAGACAGTAAAAATGTTAAATTTTTAAATTTTGTTAACGTTTTGGAATCCACAAATATATATGTTTTTTCTGGTTTCTGGGCCATAATAGATGGTGTTCAGGGCTTACTCCTGTCTTTCTGGGTCTTGGATGACAAAATGTAGTACCAGGGATCTAAATCTGGATCGGATGCATGTAAGCCAAGCACCCTACCCATGGAAATATCTTTTAGACCCCAAATCCACAAATCTTCAAAGTGAAACTTTATTTATACCTTATTTCACTGAAAGTAAAATTCAAAAAAGTGTAAAACAAACAAATGTGGTTTGAGGAAATAGCTATAACTTGTCAACTCATTGAATACTCTAGAACTCAACTATAGCATGCCTATTGTAATCATGACTTTAATACACCTCAACAAAATTGCCAAGGGAAGGAAACAGATAACAAACATAACACCAATATAATTTAGTCATTTACTAATATGCTGTGCAAGAGCTTTATGAAAAAATATATTATTTTTCCTTTGTCACATATGAAAAGTCATTCAAGTTTTAAGTATAAATATATCTGTGTGGTTTATCATGCACGAAAGCACTGTACTAAATATTATTAAATGTAACTTTTGAAAAGCATTTACTTCTTGGAAATATGGACATAAGAAGAAAATATGTCTGATTCTATTCCTGTTATTTTTACAGTATTTTCTTAGCATTAGTTATCTTAAATGTCTACAACTATTAAAATATTTTAATATTTAATAAACCTACATTCTTTTTCCAAGTTCCCAGTGCTTTCTCGTGCTCATTTTGAAGATTAAGGAACTTTTCTTCATTTTCTTTTACCTTCTCCCTTTGAAGCTCATTATCTCTTTCAAGGGTCTGCAATAAAATTAATTATCCAAAAAATAATCAATACCACATTAATGAATTTTGATGTGTTTTATGTTGCTTGGACCTTTGCTTCTAACATGCTGAAAGTGCCATCCAGATCAGTGATAATGTGCTATCTCAACAATAATTTTCATAAATTAACAGAAAGGTACTTATAGTTTAGTTAACAGGAAATAGGGGGAGGTTATGAAAAAGAAATGGCTATAAAAGGGTATAAAAACATTGCCATTATTCAGTTTCACTGCATAAGTTTTAATGTACTGAAAAAGTAATATAAAGTACAGCACAGAAAAATGTGAAATGTAGCATAATCCAGCCTAACCTTACTAAAATGTTTTAACTACCACAGAATAATTTTCTTTATTCACTTTATTTTAGAAAATAACTAGTTAGGAAATTCTTACATACAGTTTTCATTCTAAATTTCAAATTTTTACTTTATAGTAGAGTTTCAACATTTATCATATTAACCTATTACTTGGGCCGGAGTGATAGCACAGTGAGTAGGGCGTTTGCCTTGCACGCAGCCAACATGGCCGACCCGAGTTCGAGTTGTCCACCCCCTCGGAGAGCCCGGCAAGCTACGGAGAGTATCTTGCCCACACGGCAGAGCCTGGCAAGCTACTGGTGACATATTTGATATGCCAAACACAATAACAATTGTCACAATGGAGACGTTACTGGGCCCACTCGAGCAAAACGATGAAGAACGGTAGGACAGTGACAGTGACAGTAAACCTATTACTTTATAATATAAGTACCAACATGCTACCTTTCCCACCATCAAATCCTAAAATGTTTAAGTTTTATAACTGTTAAATCAATGTCATTAATAGCAGTGCTAATCTAAGTAAAATTCTATAAAAATATAAATTGTACAATTGTAAGAATTTATATATATGTCTACATTTGGAATTTTTAAGTTCATTTTAAAAATCATTATTAAAGCTATTTACATTCCAAGTAAACATTTCAAGCCACACAAAAGATATAGAAAGAAAGGTGAAGGTTTTCTGTCTTGATTCTACAATTTTCCCTCAGAAGAATCTACTTTAGTAGTTTATTGTACATTCTACAAGAAATTGTATAGAAGAATACAAATATATATAACTTCTTAAATACAGGTGAGACCGAATCATACATACCGTGTTATTCTACAATTTGCCTGTTTTGCTTTTTGGGGGGTGGGGGGGCCACCCCAGCTATGCACAGGGCTTACTCCTGACTCCGCTCAGGGATCACTCCTGGTGGGGCTTAAACCTGGGGATTGAACCTGGGTCAACCATGTACTCCCGGGGCTGGAGCAATAGCACAGCGGGTAGGGTGTTTGCCTTGCACATGGCCAACCCGGGTTCGATTACCAGTATCCCATATGGTCCCTTGAGCACTGCCAGGGGTGATTCCTGAATGCAGAGCCAGGAGTAACCTCTGTGCATCTCTGGGTGTGACCCAAAAGCAAAAAAAAAAAACAACAACAACAAAATAACCCACCATGTACTCCTGACAGAGCTCAGAGAACCAGATGCAATACCAGGGATTGTATCTGGGTTGGTTATTGGAAGACAAGCATGTTACCTGCTGTACAATCTCTCCAGCAATTAGCCATTTAAAAAAAATAAATGTCTTACTTACTTCCTATATTGTGATATACAGATAGATATATGACATTTTAAAGTATTCACTATATTTAAAGAGCTGTCAATTATATACTGTATACTAAAATGCAAAAATGACACACAATTAACAGTATAAAAAGCATTTTATAATTTCATTTTATAATTTTAATATAAAAATCTGCTTTCGCACATAAAGAATTAGACACTTAGAAAGCTCTTGTGAAAATTTATTCTGATTGCCTTTACTTCAGAATGTATTTTTATATTTTCTATATCATATATTTTCTATACATTTACATGTAATAATAGAATGGTTTCTGCTTTTTATACAATGACATATTTTTTAAAAATTTGAGGCCCCATGATTTACAATATTGTTAATGATAGGGTTTCATGCATACAACATTCTAACAACATACCCTCCACTAAAGTGTCTGCTTCCCTCCAACACGAACTGAATGTTCCCTCCCCTTCACCTCTGCTTCTGACCCCCTGTGCTTGGTATGCTCTATTCCAAAAAGGCATTTGTACTCCCGTATTCACTGTGCAGCACTATTCACAATAACCAAAATTTGGGAACAACATGAGTGTCTCAGAACAGATGACTGGACAATGATATACAATGCTGTATTTTAAACTGATTCGTACTAATTTAACCTCCTAGCCAATATATTTTGCAGTATATATTTACACTGATAAACTTTCTTTTATCTTATTAGGCCCCACTCGGCAATGCACAGGGGTTATTCCTGGCTTTGCACTCAGGAATTACGCCTGGCGGTATTTGGGAGAACCATATGGGATGCTGGGAATCGAACCCGGGTTGGCTGTGTGCAAGGCAAACGCCCTATCCACTGTACTATCACTCTAGCCCCTGATAATACCATTTTAGAAGATATATAAAGTTAAGAAATGAGACTATACCACAGTTTCTAGCATAGTAATAAATACTATAAGCATTTGTTCTTCAAACAGTGTAGTAGATAAGTTAATCACTTCCTGTCCCTACAGAGACGTCTAAGTAAAATAAATAGTTTATGGGCTGTGTATATAATACAGGGTCTAGGGTGCAAGACTTGCATAAGGCTGACCTGAGTTCTACTCCAGATAAGAAATGACTTCCAGAGCATCCCTGAGTATAATAACTGTAACACTAGAGGTCTCTAAGCATAACCAAGAATGGCCATCTGGCCCTTGAGCACTACTGGTGAGGTTAAAAAAAAAAAACTGCCTGTATCAGGTATTCTCTTGGTTTGGTTTGGTTTGGTTCTTGGCTGTTGAGATGACCAGCATACTTTGTTATAGTGCTCATGGGGTGGCGGGTCCACACACATTTAATTGTGATGCTTGCCTAGGATTTAATCCTCTAATTGTAATGTTCAAACATACTTGGTTATGGTGGACCAGAGACTGCATACTTTGTGGTGGCGCCAGGGATTCAAAATAGCAGTGCCAACCTGAATCACATCCATGGTCTCATGCCTGCAAGGCATGATGAGTTATCTCCAAACCCACTCAGTTTCCATATTTTTAGGTATTTCTTTTAATTTGTACTTAATGTTTTTGTAGCCTGCCTCAAAGATCAGGTTTTCTCTGAGTATTCCACACTTCCTTGATAAGTCTCCTGTTTCACAGATTTCATAGTTTCCTCTTTGTTAGTTTATTCATTCAATTTGATAAGCAAACTTTCCATAGACCATTGAGAAAACGAAACTGTAATAGTCTTTTCTCTTGAGAAGGTTAGTCTTCCTAGGAAAAAAAACTTCCATTTTTCCCACCTGAAAACTATAAGCCTAATTTCCATCTAACTGGAGACTCAGAATTCAATAATCAAGCTTTCTACCATATTTAACATATAATATTCTTAGTAATTGTACTGGTGAATGGAGAATAGGAAGGAAGGGGAGGAGGGAAAGAAGAGAAGAGGGAGGTGGAGGAGGGGTAGAGAAAAAGGAAAGAGAAGGAGTGAGAGAACAGGGAAGAGAAAGGAGCAGCAATCACATAATTTGCAGCATTTACCTATTTCAATAGAGTTAAGTATTCCCACCACTGTCAGTCTCAAGCTACCCTGGTTTAACAATCTGTTCACAAAATAAAACATTTCTATGAATTGTGGTACAAGTTGTCTCTAGTACACCACTAAATATCCCCAACTTGTCCCTCAGGCTCTCAAACTCAGCCCTGATCTTCTAATACGCAGAAGACACGCAGTAACTATTTGTGCAAAATAGAAAAGAGAATTTAGAGATCCAATAGCTTCATAAACAAGCCCTCTAGGTTTTTTTTACTTCAACTGAACAAATATACAGAAAAAATACGTTTGCGACTCCTAATCATTTCTGCATTTTCCCCTTGGATTTCTAATTTCTCTCACCAGCTACTAAATTGTCCATCTAGTTCTCATTTTTTGTTTTGTTTTAGGGAGTTGGGTAATACCTGGTGATGCTCAGGGCTTACTCTTGGCTCTCTGTATAGAGATTAATCCTAGCAGTGCTCAGGGGACCATATGTAATACTGGAGATTGAACTGGGGTCAGTCTTGCGAAAACAAGTCTCATCCCCTGCACTATCTCATCGCTTTTGAAACTTTAGTTTTCTTTTCTGAGATATTTGTTCCTGTGCACTTATGAATGTATTTTTATAGCAGTTCCAGAGGAGAGAGATGTGAATAGCTTTTTTCAATATATTAACAGAAGCACTTACCTGGCAATCTGTATTTGGAATCTGAATTTATACACTGTTACTCATTTGTTAATTTAATAATATTTAGCAAGGTCTTACAATGTGCTATTTCTTTAGACTTTTAAATTAGCGAAAATGTACTTGTTATGGAAAATTATATTCTATCAGAAATCATTGGTTTGTTTTAATCTCAATTAATAAATCTGAAAACTTTCTAAAAATATATACTGCGAAAAGTTAAAATAAAAACGTTTGCCTTGCACATGGTTGATCTGGGTTTGATCCCATCATCCCTATGGTCCCCTGAGCACCATCAGGAGTAATTCCTGAGTACAGAGTCAGGAGTAACACATTAGCATTGCTGGGTGTGGCAAAAAAATAGAAAAAATACAATATAAAACTGTGACTATACAAGCAATATATTTATTATTCTTGTTAATACCATAACTATCCCAGTATTATTGTACCCATATCAGAATTAAACTATAATTAAATCATAGTGAAATCTTCCCATCTCTCTCTTTCTTTTTCTTTCTCAAGTTTAGATCACTGTGCTCCAAATTGTACTATTAAAAAAGCTAGACAGATGACAGTTTGATTTCAGAGCACTGAAAAACAGCAGGCCATTATGAAGAGTAATGATCCCTTTTAGTACAGGTGGAATTAGAATGCTCCTTGAGAAAACACTTAGGATATCTATGCAGCATAATCCTCGGCAACAGTTCAACATTAATATTTTGTTATACTATATATCAGTGGTTCTCCAATACCAGTCTACAAACAAGTACTGATCCATGACAAAATTTCACTAGTCCATGGCAAAAAGAGTCAATATAAGGTCATCAAATGTCTTTTCCTATAAAGGATTGTCCTTTATCCTGAGATTATAGCCTTAATGTAGTTGTGGTGTTTAAATGTTCTCTTTCATAAAATGAAAGTGATGATAGATGGTACTATTTATTTTTTAATGTCCTTACTTACAAAATAAAAAGCTGACAATTCTATCCTGTAAAACTTTGAAATTTTACTACATGAAACTAGTTTCTCTATGTACTATCCAGGCTCAGATAATAATTGTGCAAAAGAGACAAGCATTTTGGAGTACCTATAATTGTGATAGTTAAGAAATCCTGGAACCATATTTAGTTATCATTAACTCAATGAAACATAGACTCTATGTATCTCTGACTACTGCAGGCCCTGTAAATTCAACAGTACTTACACACTGGATTAAGTGTTCAAGAAGGACATTTTAAATATGGTTTTTATATAAATCATCTTACGAAAATGGCAGGTGTCATCGATCTAGGAAAAAAATACCTTAGCAATGTAATGTAGAAATAGTGCTAGAGTAGGACTAGGACAAAGATTTAGTCATAGTTTGCCTCTAATTATAAACTCTATAACTGCTTTCTCACAATTTCTGTATCTTTATCTCATCATAAAATTAGATGGCTAGAATGAATAATTTACTGTTTTTTATAAATTTGTATGCCTCAAATCCTTTGTAAAAGATGATCCTAACAAATGCTATTCAGAGAATTTGGGTAAATATATTATGTTTCTTGGTTGAAGTTCCAACAAATTAAAGAAAGAATCCCACTAGTCAATCTACATGGAAGACAACAGAAGTGGAGGAGCACTTGTTTATAACTGGATTTCAGAGACTGTTTTTGCTAGTCTTTAATTAGAGTAGGTGATGGAATAAGAGGAAGTGTAACGACTCTAATATCCCTTTTTCCTCTCCCTCTTCCAGGTCTAACTCCTACACTACTAGGAGCAAGCAAGAGAAATAAGGAAGTCAGAAGTCATAGTGCATCAGTTATGAGAGACAAATCTTGCATTCCTTTGGTTAGGTTTTGGTTCCATTCAACGAAAATGGGCTTTACATATTCTGTTAATGTTACTTTGTGATTATTCCTTCTTTTCTACCATTTCCCTATTTCTCTCTTCCTCTTACTCTATTGTGGTACTTTTTTGTTTTCATGTCATTAACCCCTGGGCATGTTGATACTTACAAGACAAGTACAGATCTTCACAGGTTCTTAAGGGGCTTGCCATACAACTCAGCACAATCGAGTTGCACCCACTACTGGATTCCACCCTCCACAGGATGCTGCTGAAGCCAGGTGTCACGTCCTGAGTGTGCATGGAGAAGTCAATCTCCCTGTTTCATGAAATCTCTTCCTTCCCCAACCAACAGCAGATGGGTGAGCATCAAGGAATTATAATACCCAGGCAAGCTAAGTACCTGGACTGGGAACTCAAATGCTGCCAAGTTACTTGCCTCACTTGCTGTGGCATTACCAACCTGGAACTAGATGCTGCAAGGTACACAAATTAAACTCAGACCCTCTCTGCCATAATCAGGGGTAAAGGTCAATAGCAGAACATAGGCCTCTCCTCACCAGTACCTAACCAGCCAACAACAGTGGAAAGAAAGCTGGAAAGATGAGGCCAAACAGGTTCCAGGGCAACAAAAGGTTAAAATATCATCAGCAAAGAATTGGTCCTGGGAGGCAGCTAGAGACAGGAGAATGATTGAGCCAAATCCCTAAGTCATCAATGTATACTCCATTTCTCATCCAACTTAATATACAAAAAAATTCAAAGATAAAGAATTTAAATATATGAAAGTTACCACAGAACATTAAAAGCCTAAGGCATGAGATTGTTCTCAGTATGAATCCTCTGTGCAAGCACCACTGTTAAATAGCTTGGTACCTATTCAAGCTGTTCTTTACATGGGAGAGAATTTTAGTTTTCTTGGTATTTGTTCAGTTCGTCCTTTATAACCAAGAATCCCTTCAAAGGAGCATATCATGGCCACTCTGTTTGAAGCTCAGCTCCTTCTCTGAGAAGGAAAAGAAAAGAGAAGGGGGAAGCGGGAAAAGGGGAAGGACAGGACAGGAAAGGAGGAAGGAGGGAAGGAAGGAGAGAGGAAACATCTAATAGAACAGTTAAGTAGCAATTTAAAAAAATTTAGTTCATGGCTTTAAACATTAATGCCACATCAATGACAGAGGCCAATATCTTACCTTTAAAATTCAAAATAATTTCAGAGAAAGTTGGGCAGATGAATGAAAAAACAAAACCTGTAGAACTCAATAAAAATATATTGAAACATAAATATATTTAATTTTAATCTATAAAATTATTTACCGGTATCGACAAAAATATAAACGACCTGATTATTTTCTTTTAACATCTTCACTTTTGCTTCCATTTCAGTATTAGTTCGAGTCTGTTGCTGAAGTAACTGCTGCATACGTTGGAAAGAAATGATGATATCCTTTAAATATATATATATAAATATGATGTCAGTTGAAAAAGTTTAAAATAGGTATTTTTCTTTTTTCTAGTTATTTTGTTTTGTTTTGGGGTTATATTCAGTATGCTCAGGGGCTATTCCCCACTCAGTGGTTAGGGGATCACCATGTGATAGTGGAAACTGAACTGATGCCTCTCCCATGCAAAGCATATGCTCCAGCCTAAGGCAATAGGAATTTTTCTAAACTCATTAATCAAATACATTTCTTAGTCTATTAAATTTTCTATATAGTTTAATTTTAATGCTACAATAATCAATAGGCTAAAATAAACAAAGTTAACTGCTAAAAATTTAGTATTACATGATTTCTTACCAAGTACTATTTCTGAGTCCCCTAAATAAGTAATAGGTTTTTTTTTAAACTAGGCCTTGGATTATTACACAATACTGAAAGTGTGAAGAAGATCTCAGAACTAAAATTTTTACTAGTTTCTTTCCCAAATACATCACTACTAACATGTTATTATACTAGTTGGATAGGACATCATGATACGTACTAAAGTAAAATAGAGTAAAAAGCAGACTAGAAAAAAATCAGAAAGAATTCTCTTTCATATGCTTTTTTTAAATAGAAGAATTATCGATTTGCTCGAGCGGGCCCAGTAACGTCTCCATTGTGAGACTTCTTGTTACTGTGTTTGGCATATTGAATACTCTCGGTAGCTTGCCAGACTCTCCAAGAGGGGCGGAGGAATCGAACCCGGCTCGGCCGGGCTGGCTGCGCGCAAGGCAAACGCCCTACCGCAGTGCTAACGCTCTCAAATGATACTATAATGTCCTAAAAAAAGTGTTCTTAGCATATATACATCTCAATATTTTTTTGCCAGGACACCACTGGTCAAAAAACTATCAAGGTAAAAATAGAACTAGTTTATGAGGGATAGCACAGTGGTAGGGCATTTGCCTTGCATGCAGCCACTATGGCCGACCCGAGTTCGATTCCTCCGCCCCTCTCGGAGAGCCCAGCAAGCTACCAAGAGTATCTCGCCCACACGGCAGAGCCTGGCAAGCTACCCGTGATGTATTCGATATGACAAACACAGTAACAACAAAGTCTCCAATGGAGACGTTACTGGGCCTGCTCGAGCAAATCGATGAACAACGGGAGGACAGTGATGATGATGATGATTTAAAATATTTTAATATTTTTCTAACTTTATGGCATAAAATATGTGCAAACTTAAGGTACACAATGTCATCATGAATTAATGCACACATATACTGCAAATTCATTACCTCAATAAAATTAGTTAACATTTCTATCACCTTAATAATTACCAATTATTTTGTGTGTGGAAGCACCAAATCCTAACCACTAGACTATCAGGGAACATATAATTTTGTGTGTGGTAAGAATATTTACGATGTACTTTCCTAGCAACTTTCAAGTAATAAGTATAATAAGTATAATCTAGAATTTCTGAGTAAAGTGATTTTTCTGTTCATAAATTCTTCAAAATTCACCCATAACTTTGAATTCTTAGGAAAGGAGCCTAACACAATACATGCTATAACCATGCCACTGGATCCTGAGCCAGGCTGTTTCGTTTGGAGGCACCCGGGAGGGGGGGCAGGTGAGACCCTCCCCACCCCAAGGGACACGGCCCCAGCAGCTGAAAATCTCCAGAACTCAAGCTCCACCATGCTCACAGCCATTCTCCACATGCTTGGATGGAGCCTCACCCATGAGTGAACCTATTCCTGGACCACATAACTCATACTTCACACCACCCATACTCCTCCAAGAGCACCACACCACATCTGATGGGGTTTAAAGTAGGAGGCAACCAATCTTAAAGGGCAATTTTTTTACATATAGATGGATTCATATATATGAATATATATTCATATATACATATATACATATATATATATACACACACACAAGGCTCAACCTTTACCAACTTGTTAGTGATCTCTTTTAGAAGTTCTTAATGGCCCCTGGGTGAAATACAACAATCTTCACACACTTTCCTCTAAGGAAACTTTTTTGTAGCATTTTCAGAGTTTTTTTTTTTTATAACAAACAATACAAAATAAATTATTTCAGTTCTGCTTTGGGGCAGGGATTGGGGTTCAGGATGGAAACATCCAAAATAAGATTGGTGTTTGAAAATTAAATGTAATCAAATATTGTGAACTACTTTATAAAAAAAAATTTAAGTATGCATCCTTGACCAACATCTCCCCAAATCCTCTTATATTTATTTCTTCATGGCAATGTTCATGCAACCTAGCTTAAAAGATACACATGTGGTGGCTGGGAGGCAGTATAGCCCTTAGGATACACTCTAGCTTAAGGTACTTGCTACCCCCTGTTCAATACCCCTACCACATGGTAGGTGTGGCTAGAGTATATTCCACCAATGCTGGTTGCGGATCTGGAGATGCTCAACAGCACTGAGAGAGCCCAGGTAGTTACTAGCACACAGAGCCTGAGCAGCATTGCATCTTCGGGCCCTCGCATTGAACTGCCAGCCCAGTTGGTCAAGAATTATAATGGGGGCCTTGAGCATCCTGAGCACCACTGGGGAGGCACTCCAAAAAAAAATTAAAAATAAAGACATACATGTATCCACTAAATACACTTTTCTGTGAGGCATTGACCTAGACATGAATCCATTTATTTAACTTGTTTTTTTCCCCCTCCACACTGTATCTGATTTTGGAATTATTTATTAGCTTATAAAATATTTTTATCATTGCTTGCCTGTTTTTCTTCTTGAATTCTGGTAATTTCCTCATTAATCCTCTTATTTAATTCCAATTCCTTGAAAAAAAAAACCAGTTTTAAAGTTCTGCTACAAAATCTGACAAATTCCGTGCTCAATTTAGTATTCAATATATTGTGAGTATAATGATCTGTTATCACTACAAAGTACCATATTTATTTGCTATTACAGCAGTGATTTCAGTGAACTGAAGAAAGTATCAGATACCTAATACAAACTGGTACTAACAGTATATGTTAATGTTAAGAATTATAACATTTCTCTTCTTCAAAAGTCTTTCTGTAAATAATACTGTATCATAAAACTATCTGACACAGGATCCGGGGCCGTGGTACAGCGGGGAGGGCGTGTGCCTTGCACACGGCAGACCCAGGTTTGATCCCCGGCATCCCATATTCCCCCAGGCACTGCCAGGAATGATCCCTGAGTGCAGAGTCAGGAGCAACCCCTGAGCACTGCCAAGTGTGACTCATATGCCAAAATCAATTAATCAATCAATAAAATATTTTTTGAAAAGCCTGACACAATATTACAGTGAAAATAAAATGATCATAATCAAATGTTTATATCTTAAAATCTGCTGATAGGACTTTATGATGGTGACATTAGAATTACGGCAAAACCAATTTTTAATTATATTATTTTTACTTGGTACATAACCTTAATAAAGTAGTTTTCTATTATAACACAGAAATTACCATACATTTAATAAAAGTATTTATTTTGTATTGGAGCCAGAGAGAGGGAGTACCGGGGCTAAGAATCTGAATCCTGGTAAGTATCCTTGGCACCAATCTATTTCCCTGTGCACCACCAGGGGTCATTCCTGAGTACAAAGTCACGATCAGCACCCTGAGTGTGACAAGATGTGGCACCAAGAAGAAAAAACAAACAAAACACTTATTTGAGTACCATGTTGAGTCTTTCTTGAAGTTCTTGAAGCTTTTGTTCTTTAACTGTTAAGTTGATGTTTTCTTCTCCCATCCTATGTTGGCATGTGGCTTTGAATTTTATCAAGTCTGAGGTTACATTTTTTAGTTCCTAAACATAAGAAATGTCAAGCAAAAAAATCAGTTTACATTTTTTACAGAAGTAAGGTAATGTTCTGACAGTGTTTAAAGTCCATTTTTAAAAACTACCATTGTAATTTATCATATTTCACAAAGTGTCATCAAGATCTATTTTCCCTAGCTTCCCCAAGATAATTAGCTGATGTGGAGATGTTGCTTATGGCTATGAATTAGGCAAAGACAGAAACAAAATAGAGAGAATACATTATCTCAACTCCGAAAAATAGCACACTAATTAAACTAATTAACCACCAGTAGGATATTTTCATTTCAAGTTATTCAACAAAAATCTTCTGGGTTAAAAGGAGGTTATAAAATATTATTACTGAGTTCATTATCTTCTAAAAATTTATGTAAAAATTAATTCCATCATAAGATGATGAGTGGTATAAAAAGCATAAAGAAAGTTTGGTTAATATGGCATCAAGAAGGCATTACACAGCAATGCAGTATTTAACTGAGTTTTTAAGAATAAAACTACAAAGAGGACAAAAACAGAGTAGACATGACAGGCAAAAGATTCTATAAAATTACAGATTGTATGAAATTAAGGAAACATACTTCAATTTTCAAAAGATTAAGAACTGAATAAACCATAGCAAGTACTCCTTCTATGGTATTTTCCATAGAAATAGATCTAATATGATATGGTGTGTTATTAAGTTATGGGTGAAGGAAAGAAGTACAGCATGGTACTATAGGTTAGAACTTTGGCAATACAATTCAAATATTGAATGGAATTTGTAGGTAAAGTTTATGAGTTTTAATTTTTTCTAACAAAAATGACAATCACTAAAGAATTAGGAGCAGGAAAAAAGACATAACACGATTTGTATTTCATTAAAAATAAGTAAATAACACTGGCAGGCCTGTGAGCAGTACAGTAGGTCTTGCATGTGGCAAACTCAAGTTTGATTCCAGGTACCCTATACAGTTCCCTCACCCCCTGCCACTCCCTTTGAGGAGTGATTCCTGAGCAGGTCCAGGAATAAATCCTGAGCAGGTCCAGGAATAAACCCTGAGCACAGATGGGTGTGGCTCCAAAAACAAAAAACAACAATAAAAAAAAAAACACTGGCAGTGTCATAAAGCATATAATTAAGGGAGATACTAATGTTCCTTGTTGTAAAGTTTAATGCATACCTTCCACACACATTAAAATCCTGAATTACAACTTCTGAATTAATATATAAGGAGCCATAGCACAGCGGTAGGGCATTTGCCTTGCACGCAGCCAACATGGCCGACCCGAGTTCGATTCCTCCGCCCCTCTCGGAGAGCCCGGCAAGCTACCGAGAGTATCTCGCCCGCACGGCAGAGCCCGGCAAGCTCCCCGTGACGTATTCGATATGCCAAACACAGTAACAACAAAAGTCTCCAATGGAGATGTTACTGGGCCCGCTCGAGCAAATCGATGATCAACGGGAGGGCCTTTACTTTACTTACTTACTATAAATATTATTTGTATATTTATTACGCTCAAGGATTGAGTTTACAATATCTGAATGCTTTTAAAATTTTGGAGGAATTCTATACTACAGGAGCCAAATGCCCACTAGAAATGGCTATCACAAGGTTTATAAGTTTAAGATCAGGCTCAACTTAGAGTTATCAGTCTTAAACATTAGATCAGGAACTAGTAACACAATGAATATAACTACTGCAAAATCACTTGCTGAAATACACTGGAGGCATGCAAGTAAATTGATAGGTTACCATATTATAAAAGATGCTCCTGGTTTAGGTGTGAACAAACCAGTGCATTTTCTTACCAATAATGGTGGGCTGTGGGAGAAGTTTACCAGATAATGAATCTCTAGGAATTTTTCTTAATTTCTTTTTTAATTTTTTCTAATTTCTTGAAAAATTAGTTTCTTAAAAATTATCTAATTTTTTAAAAAATTTTTAATTTTTTAAAAAATATTTTCTTAATCCTAGAGGAAAGGGCAGTTCAGATAGAGAAGGGAGCACCAAATAAAGGATGTTTGGAGGATCCTCCCAGGAGGGGAGATGCATGTCGAAAGTAGACTATGGACTGAACATGTTTGCCACTCAATGCCTCTTTTGCAGACCACAACACCCAAAAGGAGAGAGAGAACACAGGAGATTGCCCTTCCACAGAGACAGGGGGGATGGGGGGATGGGGGTGGGAGGGATATTATCCATGGTGGTGGAAAATGGGCACTGGTGGAGGGATGGGTATCTGATCATTGTATAATTGAAACCAAAGCACAAAAAATTGTAAATCTACAACTTTAAAAAAAAATAATAAAATAAAATAAAGGGGAAAAAATTTTTCTACATTTTGATTAAAAAAATCTTAACTATTGTAATCAACAATGCTAAAAATAGATAATTCTAAGTTCAGAGCTAAGAATACGAAAGAAAATAGTAATTACAAAATACAGTATAAAATAATGCACTGTAGCACTGTCCTCCCATTGTTCATCGAGTTGCTTGAGCAGGCCAGTAACGTCTCCATTGTGAGAGTTGTTACTGTGTTTGGCATATTGAATATGTCACGGGTAGCTTGCCCGGCTTTGCTGTGTGGGCAAGGTACTCTCTCTCACATACTCTCAGTAGCCTGCATACTTTCGGTAGCTTGCCGGGCTCTCCGAGAAGGAGGAATCGAACCCGCTAGGCCAGGCCGGTTGGGCCCAAGGCAAAGACCCTACCGCTGTGCTATCGCTCCAGCCCAATAACATTTAAAAATAAATCTAATTCTTGGGGCCAGAGTGATAGTATAGCAGGTAAGACACTTGCTTTACACATGGCCAACCATGGTTTGGTCCTTGGCATCTCATATATTCTCCAAGCCCTACTAGAAGCAATCCCCTTAGCATAGAACCAAGAATAAGACCTGAGCACCACTGGGCGTACCCCACACACCGAAATATCTAGTTCTTTAGGCAACTAAATTCTTAAAAATGAAGGACATCAATTCAAATGAAAGTGCTTGTTAAAGGTCCTCAAACTTCTAAAAAATGTTAATTGCTTTTTCACCTTATTGAGGAATACAGACCATAGGGAGGTCAGGATCACCTCCACCACATAAGGGCAGAATCAAGGCTTTAATTCACCACCTTGCACTTGCTTTGGCAAGCCATTTTCGTGGACCTCGAACCTTCTTTTTTCCTTCTTTTTTTGGGTCACACCCAACAATGCACAGGGGTTACTCATAGCTTTGCATTCAGGAATTACTCCTGGCAGTGCTCAAGGGACCATATGGGATGCTGGGAATTGAACCTGGGTCGGCCGCATGCAAGACAAACACTCCACCAACTATCTGCTATCACTCCACCCCACCTCAAACCTTTTTATCTCGTGGGGATATGGTGCCACCAGCAGGTCAATCTGTACCTGTTAGGCAAGTGCATCAGCAGCCAGATGGTGCCTTCAGACTTCCAGATATCCCAAAATTGCTACTGTGCCTTTGGCCAGACCCCAAAAACGTGAGGCAAAGTTTACCAAGAAAGTAAATGGCCAAAAGTTAGGTATGTGGGAGACACACACACAAACCACCTCCGGCTCAGCTATATAATTGGAGGCATGTCCTCTCTGGTTCCTGATTGAACTGCTTAATGGCCATGATCCCAGAGACTCAGAAACAAAGCTTGAAACCCAACAGCTTTTGGCAGAAATGCGTCAAGTCCCTGCAGTAAGTTACAGGTGCTGGGCCACCCCAGGTGGGAATAGGTTTCGTGCCTGTTCCCCCTGGCGGCCCAGTGGCCGTCATCCTCCAGAGGTTTGGGCCTACAGTGGTGAGACACGCTTTGCCTCTCAGGATGGGTGTGGAACCTGCCCTTTCCTTCCCATCCCAACAAGACCTTGAGTTGCCGCCCACGAACGGCCTCACTGACTCCTGATCAAGCTGCTTAATGGCCATGATCCCAGAGATTCAGAAACAAATCTCGAAAGCCAGCGGCTTTTTGGCAGAAATGTATCCAGACGGCGCAGTAAGTTACTGTCCGCTGGGCCACCCCAAGGGGGAAAGGGTGCTGTCCCTCCACCTGCTCCCCCTTGGTGGCTCGGTGGCCACCATCCACCAGAGACCATTGGACAGTCAGGTTTGGGCCCGCAGTGACGAGACACGCGGGGCCTCATGGGATGGGGGTGGAGCCGGCCTTTTCCTCCTCACCCCAATGAGACCCCGAATCACTGCTCATGAACGGCCTCTCTGGCTCCTGTTCAAGTTGCTTAATGGCTTGAAACCGAGTAGGTTTTTGCAGAAATACCTCCAGATTTAATTGTTAAAATTTCGGAATTTCAAAATCACGCGGCCACTGCTGCAGCCACGCGACATCATATGTTATTCATAACCAGCAATAGAAAACAAATTGTCTACTGTTGCCTTTTCAGCAAATCTGAGTGTTGGGGTAAAATCCCAAACAATAATGGTGGGTCTGGTGTCAAAATATTGAATGTAATCAAAGTAGAGAGAGAGTGATGTGGAAATCATCTGCCCCACAGGTAGGGGGAGAGTGTGAGATGGGGGTATACTGGCGTTTTTGGTGGTGGAGAAGGGGTTCTGGTGAAGGTACGGGTGTTTCATTGTAAGACCGAGACTTAAACCCAAAAGCTTTGTAACTGCTCTCACGGTGATTCAATAAATAAAATTAGAAAAAATGAAAAAATAAGCCTTTTTTATCTCAACTTAGGTTTATTGGATATCTAGCTAATATAAATACTGTTACAAAGTCAAGCAGATACAGGATCTCTCCTATGTGGGAATTTAAAAAGTGGGCACTTTAGTGGAAACTGTCATGGTATTATAAAGATGCATGCATAAAACCCTATAATTACAGTACTATCATAGTGTCTAAAGAAAAACATTTAAAAAATCATCTGAAAAAAATTAAATCTTTTATGTTCAGTTGATTCTCTTCTTTTAAACAGCATCAGTGATGCTGGATTTAAAGCAATGTATGTTTTCCTTTAAACAAAAGTGTTTATAACTATTTATTTTCAAACTGCATTTTTGTGCATTTTTAAAGAGGCCATCATTTTTAAAGGAAAATTTGAAATTTTTGAAAGATAATTTATCTTGAGTTTTCCTAAAGCAAGATATATACCTACACTTACCTAAAGTAAATAAAGATTAAAACAACTTATAAAGTAAATTACTTTATAAGCTGACATACTTTACATTAGTAACCTATTCCAGGTTAAATTCTATGACACAATGTCCTACTGATTAAAAGTACATTAAATTGAATTATATAGTACAACTGACACATAAAATCACTTACAATTCTCTGAATTAATCAAGAAAACTGGTTTCTAAAAATTTTTTTAGTAAAAGTATAAGATGAAACATACATTTTTCTATACTTTTCAATAGCAGAAATATGCTAAATTTTATATGGAATATAAAATATAATTATTATAGTAGTTGTTATGAAACAACAGGGAAGTAGGAATAAGGGTATTTAGGGTGAAAATCCAGTAACTGCTTAACAAAAGTAAAAGCTAATAATTTCTTATTTCTTTCCTTTTAACTTAGGAATAATTAATCTTAAAAGCTTAATAAATTAAAATCAGACATCCATTAGATGATTATCCCTGAGAATATGCTCTTGATTTTATAACAGCTTTTATAGTTCTTAAATATTCTGAACTTTTAGTATATTTTCTGTTTTCTAACCATTTTATTCAAAGCTGTTAGTGCAGCAAATAAACAGCACAAGCTTTGATCTCATTAAATTACAACTTATAGTTCCTAGAGTCATAAATATTATGCCCTTTCCTTCTTTACTACTTCTTTTCTGGTATGAGGTAGTCTGTTAAATATCACTATCTCCTTGAGTGCTCTGACGTTTATTCAGACAAACAGCAGAGGTTATGAATGCTGCTCTAGATAGTATCAGGAATTTTTCATGATTGCCATAATGGTGAACCCAGCATAGTTTCATCAAACAGTTAAATTTGTGATTAACTTGCTCTACAAAATAAATAAAAATCTATCTTATCACAAACCAATAGTTTAACTATTCTGGACAAAGTCACAAAACAACATAAAAGAAAAATATTATCCTTGGAAAATTTATTCAAGTTTTAAATGATTTATGTGACCAAGATTATGATACTTTATTAGTTTTTGAAAAGAAAAATCAGGAGCCAGATAGATAGTACAGCATAGTAGGGCACTTGCATTGCATATTGTTGCCTCAGGTCTGATCCCAGACAGCGCATATAGTTGCCCAAGTCTGTCAGGAGTGATCCCTGAGTGCAAAAGCAGGAGTAATCACTGAGTAGTGCCAGGTGTGGCACAAAAACCAAGAAAAGAAAAAAAAATACCCTTTCCTTAAAGTTAAAATTCAATGGCTACATTAAAAGGATCTGTGGGTGTGCAAGAATTCTGACTAAGTTTAATCTCTGGACACAGGAATATTGCCCTTGTGACCCCAGCACCAGCAGACTAAAATAGTAATGTGTTGCTAGGAAACAGGCATTTACCAGATTTGTACTGCCAAGTTGAATATTGCCAGGAGTCCTAAGACTGCTGGGGAGTCCCTTCCCAAACTGCAAGAAAAGTGGGACTTGAGTAACACATTTCTAAATAACACATGGGTCAGGGCAAGGATGCACTTCAGTGACAGAGCCCTGGTATACAATAAAAAGCCCTAGGTTTCATTAGATCATGAATAAATTGACTGATGATGAACACATCAAGAAATCTCAGGAGAAATTTTAAAGAAGCAATGATGACCAGAATAAAAAAGACACTCCACAGACTGGGAGAGAACCCACCATTCATCTGATAAGGGGCACTGGTAGAACTTTGTAAGGAAAAAAAAATCCCAAAATGGGGGAAATACAGGAATAGAAACTTCCTCCAAAAAAGTCATGCATATGTCCAAGAGGTAGCACTGTAGCATTGTCCTCCTGTTGTTCATCAATTTGCTCAAGCGGATACAAGTAATGTCTCCATTGTGAGACTTTTTGTTACTGTTTTTGGCATATTGAATATGCCACAGGGAGCTTGCCAGGCTCTGTCGTGAGGGCGGGATACTCTCAGTAGCTTGCTGGGCTCTCTGAGAAGGACAAAGGAATCAAACTCAGGTGGGCGACATGCAAGGCAAATGCCCTACCCGCTGTGCTATGAGAAAATTCTCTACATCACTTCTCAACAGGGAAATACAAATCAAAACAACAAAAAGATATCATCTCACATCAATGATATTGGCATATATCATAAAGAACAAAAATAACAAATGTTGGCATGAATGTGCGGAAAAGGGACCCTCGTTAACTTCTGGTGGGAACAGTGATTGGTCGAGCTTTTTCTGAAAACAAAATGGACACTTCTCAAAAAACTAGGAACTGAGTTTCCATATGACCCAGCAGTTCCACTTCTTGGCCTCTACCCCAAAGACCCAAAAACTATTCCGAGAAGACACAAACACTCTTTCGTTCATTGCAGCACTAATAACAATAGCCAAAATCTGATAACAACCCAGGTATTGAAAAGCAGATAACTGGATAAAGAAACTGTAGTATATACACACAGTGGAATATTACTCAGCTATAAGAAAAATGAAATCATGCAATTTACTGCTACATGCATAGATCTGAATAGTATCATGCTGAGTGAATTTAGGAGAGGGACAGATACAGAATGATATCTCGCATATATGGGATAGAAAGAAACATAGTAAGGAAATAAGAAATGCCCAAAGGTAAGAGAAACTGAGAACTGGTCTTTAGTGGGACGCTTACTATGGCAGGAATAGAGTGGGGAAGGAATAAGCTCGAGGGCAGAGAAAGATGGACAGTGGTAAAGGGAAGGGGATACTGATGAAGGGTGTGGTGTTGGAATATTTTGCATGAAACCCCTACCATTAACAATACTGTAAATCATGGTGCCTAAATTTTTTTTTATTTGATAAGCCTTTAGTAGGTTGAAAGAAAAAGAGGGAAAACTAATAATAAATATCAGGAAAGAAAGAACTAAACTGAAGAAACCAGGGATATTAAGAAGACAATAAAGGAATGTTTATAGATAACTCTATGTTCACAACTTGGTAATAATAAATATATTGGACCAATTCCTTGAAACCTACAATCTTCCAAAACTCACACAGGAACAGATAATCCAACTAGGCCTATATCCACTACAATAAATAGAAGCAATAACTAACAACCTTATATCAGTACAATGTCTGGATATATTAAAATCTGATGACACTACCACACTGAAGTGGGGCGGAGGGTCTGATAAAGGGGTGATTATGAGGTCCAAGGACCTCTTCTCATGATTCTTGACCTATTGGGCCAGCAACTCAAGGCTAGGGCCTGAGAATGTGCTACTGTTTGGGCCCTTAGGGATTGGGCCCTGTGGATTTAGGGATTACCTGGACCACTTGATTGTGCTCATGGGACTCCAGGGAAGCATCCAGTGATGCTTGAGGGGGCTGTTGGTGCCAGGGATTGAAGTTGATATGGCCACACTCAAGGCATGTGACACACCCCCTGTACTATCTCCTACCCTTCTATCACATATTCCAGAAAGAATCTATGCCAATTATTTTAATATCTTTCAAAAGATAGAAACTGCAAACTAATTGTGTAAGGACTTATCTTAATAACATATAAGAGATATAAGAGATATTACAAGAGAAAGCTATAGATCAGTAGCTATCCTAAGCATAAATGTAAAATTCCTCAGCAAAATAATAGAAAATTGAATCTATCAATAAATAAAATTAATTATAGACTGTGATTAAGTGGTATTTATTCCAGGTATGGAAGGCTGGTTCAACATTCTAAAATCAATTAATGTAATCCATTACATCAACAGACAAGAGAAAATAATGTCATATTATTTTATTATAATTATCATGTCATAAATAATGACCATACCTATACATGTAAAAACACTTGATAAAATATAATACCTACTTATCATTAAAACACTCAAAAACTTAGATATGAAAGGGAATTTCCTCTACTAAGTAAACAAAATCTAATAAAACCTACATCACACTTTTAATGGTAGTGAGACTCATGAAACTTTCCCACTAAAATTAGGAATAAGCCAAGGATGAACCGCCTCTTCACTACTTTGTAGTACTATACTAGAAATCCTAGCTAATGCAAGACAAGAAAAGTAAACAAAAGACATTCTATACTATAAAGGTAAAATAACATTGGTTTTTCACAGATAACATGATTATGCATAAAATCTGAATAAAATTACTATGCATTTTAAAAAGAACCTTCTGAATAGGAATAGAAAGATAGTAAAGCAGGAAGGACATTTACCTTGCACAGGTTCAGTTCTAGATACCGTATATGGAGCCCTGCCAAAAGTGATTCCTGAGCATAGAGCCAGAATAAGACCTGAGCACAACTGGGTGTGTCCCAAAAACAAAACAGAAAGACTGAACTATAATTTGAAGCTTAAGATTTTCAGCACTGAAAGCCCCTCACCCGACTTCCTCAAAGAGAATGTCTGAAGATTATTAAAAGATTATTAACACACTATGAGCTTTACATCATACTCAGAAGCTGTATCAATCATACCTTCTTTAAACTGCATATTTCCGATTCTTGTTTTTTATTTAAACCTGAAAATTTTTTGTTTAACTGTATTGCTTCTTTTACTGCAGTATAAAAGACATTTAAGAGACTTGTTATATTCAGTATACATTTTAAGGGAAGCATCACTAACACATACTAAGAAAACAGCCTTAATGCAATATATACACATAGTACACATAATTAGACTGAGTCAAATGCATATAATTGTGTATATAATTATTATTGAATAAAGTATTCATTAATCTGTTACTAATATGAATATCTGTCTCTATACATTAAATAATCCCTTTAATGTTCTCCATTAAATATAGAAATTTAAATAAAATATCACATACCATTTTGTTCTAATTTTTCATGATTCTCCTTTACCAATCCAAATTGACTTGTTATTGTGGAATAGTATTTCTCAATTTCATTTAACTGTTTCTGGTGATCTTCTTTAGCCAAATTATATAACTGAATTTTATATTCCTATTTGAATAGTTATTTTAAATATTATATTATTTTATATATGTATAACTCACATAAAAATAGACACTTCCAAGATACTAGGCTTATTCAGTAGTCACTATTATCAGCAAGTAAACCATGGGCAGTAATGAATTGCATTGTTTTGTTCTAAAACACCACTTAAGGGGCCAGAGAGATAGTTCAGCAGATAAAGAGCTTTCTTCTCACATGCCCAGGCCGACTTCATTCCCCAGCACCACATATGGTTCCCCAAGCCCAGACAGGAGTGATTCCTGAACACAGTGGTACAAAAACCAAAAATAAATGAATAAAATACCACTTAATTTTCATCTAGAGATTATATTTGCTTTCAGAAATTATACAGAGATTTTAAAAACATTTTTCAAATATTTTTATTCAAATAAATTTTATGAGAATAGTGATCCCTGATGAGCGAGGAGTAAGCCCTGAGCATCACCAGGTGTGGCCCCCAAATAAAAAAATGGTCACAGTCCTCCTGTTGTTCACTGATTTGCTCGAGCGGGCCCAGTAACGTCTCCTTCGTGAAGCTTGTTGTTACTGTGTTTGGCATATTGAATACGTCTAAACAAAGATAATTGTGTTCATTTCCCTAGAAACATATTAGCACTACACCAAAAATTTTAAAATCTTACTGAATTTCATGAGAAAAATTCAATATATTTAAAGTGGGGTCACTGATATCAGGTCATTAACTTTTACAAAAGTTTCTTAGTACCATTTTTTAAAACACTTTAGGACACAACTTTATATTGATTCCCTAGTTTTGTCTTAACATGAGTGACCATCTTATTTCCTATCGTGCTAACAGCCAAATAAGATAAAAGAATAATGTACTGCTTTTTGTATTTTTTAAGAGGCTGTAATTCACAGTAACAAAAAGCTCAGAAGTAACCAAAATTATCATAAGTATACAGCATGTTTCCAAGTATCTCTTTGATGAAATTTTTAAGTGGGATAAAATAAAACACATTTTATGTTGCTTTTGATCTTTTAACTTGTAGCCTTATCTCCCAGGTCAAAGGGCACATTATTCAATTTCACTCTATTTTGTGTAAAACCACTGTAGCGTTGAAGATGACTTTCAGTACAAATGTCATGGTACTTAAAGCTAAACTGGAATCTAGTTTTTTAGCTTCTTAATTAAAATCACAGTTTAAAATAGTCTTACAATATTATCTTTATTCTTTCCAGCTGAACAGTGACAGAAGTTGCACATCTCTTATTCAATCAAGCTTAGCAATCTTTCTATTGCTCTTTATTTTCTAATTTTCTAATATGCCAAAACAATTTAAAGAGGCAAAATACTTACTTTATTTTTCTGTATTTAATGCTACATGAAGTGATCTTTCATTTCTCACTTCTCAAAAACATATATATGTAAATCTTTCCCCAAAATTCATATTCCTGTATTCCTGTCTGCTCCAAAGAAGGAAGACTAGAAGTGTACACATACCCAAGAAACACTCTTGAGATTTAAGTGGATATGAAGAATTTTGCTCAAAAATATAGAGAAAAAGTCCTTCTGAATCAAGTAAGAATAGAGAAAGAGAACAGTAAAGCAAATATTCCATTAAATGTTGTGCTTATAAAAATGAAAACAAATAAAATCAGCATGCTATACAAGAGATATATTCTAAACACTTGTTGAACAACAAAGGAGAAGTACCATATCCCAAGTGTAGTATACAAATGCTATTTCATATAATTTCAATTTTTCAGGTTATAATTAAAAACAGTAAAAACACCTAGGAAAGACATTAAGAGGATATAGTTCTGTTGTTCTTCTTTGTTGCTACTGCTTTATTTTAATGTAGAGAATTCTACCAAAATTAATATTATGTAACCAAGAAATAAATTTTTGAAGTATTTATTTTTGGACTCCGCGCCAGGTTGTGGGGCAGGTGAGAGCCCTTCCCACCCCAGGGACCCAGTCCTGGCAGCCGACCTCCACTACCCAACCACCGCCACGCTCCAGGCCACTTTCTGGGCAAATTATAAGACACTTCCTACCCATTTTCCACAATTACTACACCATATCTGATGGGGTTCAGACAGTAGGCAACAAATCATAGAAAAATATGAGAAAAATATATAAATATATGCCTCTCGGAGAGCATATATATAGAGAGAAAAATATATAAATATATGCCTCTCGGAGAGCCCAGCAAGCTACCAAGAGTATCCTGCCTACATGAGCAGAGCCTGGCAAGCTCCCCGTGGCGTATTCTATATGCCAAATACAGTAACGACAACAGGTCTTATTCCCCTGACCCTGAAAGAGCCTTCAATCATTGGGAAAAGATGAGTAAGAAGAGGTGCTAAAATCTCAGGGCTGGGAGGAACAGAGACGTTGCTAGTACCCACTCAAGTAATTCGACCATCAATGGGATGACAGTGACAGTGACAGTGATTTATTTTTCGTATGTAATTTAACCTATTAAATAGGATATCAGTATTTAATGTGAACACTTTATAAATATTACCTCTAACTTACAAAAATACTATGTATTTCTATTCTGTAATTTCTTACCATTTCATTCACTTTCTTCTCTAAAGAATAGTTAGAAACCTTGAAAAAAAAGAGAAAAATCTCACTAAAATGATTTAATAATGTTAGAAATTCCTCCTGATATAAAATATATGTGCTATTAAATGTGGCATTTATCTTTCATGCATTATTTTTACTATTTACTTATTTTCAAAAAGTATTTTTTCCGTTATTTTCTTCCATATAACAAAATAATAAATTCACTTATTTATTCAACATGTGTCTATGGGGTACCTACTATATTCCAGTTTCCCTAGGTAAGACCTTGGAACATAAGAGAGAATAGAGTCTATGCTACTAAGAAGCTATCTGTCTTGGGATCAGGGACATTGGTCAATCCCTGGCACCTCATGCCAACCCCCAAGACATCTGGTGTCGAGCCCACAATAATTTTTTAAATGTTCTATCTAATGCTTTGAGGGACAGTGGTAGACAAATTACAATAAAATATTGGTTAAAAAGTACAAAAGCTGAGGCCAGACCAGTAGTGCAGTGGGTAAGGGGTTTGCCTTTCATGCAGCCAGCAGGTTTGATCCCCAACACCGCACAGTGTCCCCTGAAACATCCAAGAATAATTCCTGAGCACAGAGCCAGGAGTAAGCCCTGAGCACTGTCAGCTGTGGTCCCCAAAACAAACAAACCAAAAAGTACAAAATTTAGGTGTCAGGGAGATCGTTCAAAGGTAATGGCACTTGCAAGGTTTGATCCTTGGTACCACAAGGATTGATGAGTGTATTCCCAGTTGAGGTGTTAGTGGCATCTCAAGTACCACTGTGGTGTGGTGGCCCTGTTGTTTCATGGCAGAGCCCAAGCAGCACCACATCCTTGAGCCTTCACTGACATGTTCAACATGTGTCTATGGGGTACCTACTATACACCATGGGGTATAGTAGGTACCCCATAGACACATGTTGAAGAGTCACTGGAAAAGGTTTCTGGATCCCTGAGTACTAATTAGAAAGCCAACCTCACCAAAAATTTCTGTGCAGAAATTTTAAAATGACATTTCAAGACAGGATGGTTCAAGACAGTGGCATAAAAATGTGAACTCATTTCTTTTCACAGACAAATTATCTACAACTATGTAAGGAATACTTTACAAAGAGGTCCTGAAACCTGGACAGAAATCCACAACAAAGGATTAACAGAACAGCATTGAAACAAGGAGAAAAGACAGATTTCCCAATAAAGATTACTCTGGATATGAAGATTGGTATCTGGATATTTCAGAGTTGTGAAACATTCTCCTGTTGTTTGGCATTGTGTTCACAATCTTTTAATCCTGCATGAGCTCCTAGTCCCACATTAAAAGCTGATATAAGGGCCAGAGGAAAAGTACAATAGGTAGTGGCAGATTTGGGTTCGATCCTCAGCATCCCATATAGTCCCTCAAGTCCACCAAGAATGATTCCTTAATGCAGAGTTGGAAGTAGTCTGTGAACATTGCTGGGTGTGGCCCAAACCCAAGCCAAAACAAACCCAAAAAAGCTGGCAGGCTTTTTAAAAACTACCCAGAATTTTAAGACTACAGGGAATTTATCTTCAAAGACTCACTCACCCTGGAACCTAGAATAGTAATAGTGGTTTGAAAAGTACCTGAATAATAGGTGCTTCTGCTGATTAAACTCAGCATCTTCCTGAGAGATAGAAAACTTTTGGTGTGACTCCCTGGTCAGAAATACTGACAGAAGCAATCTTGGTAACTTCACCCAACTTTGCTAATTCTGTATTGGCATGGGATGGTGATGTCTATCACTCACTTCAGAAAAAGCAAGTCAAGACTGGCACAGGTCCATAATACTGCCCATCCATAGCTGGAGCAATAGTACAGCAGGGGGAGATTGCATTGCATGTGGCCAACCCAGGTTTGAACCCTAGCACCACAGGAGTCTACCAAGAGTGATCCCTACTATGCACAGAGCCAGGGGTAAGCCCTGAGCACTTCTGGGTGTATCCCAAAACAAAACAGACCAGAGATAGTATAGTGTATATGAAGTGCCTGCCTTGCAAACAAATGACCCCAGTTTGATCCCTGGCATTCCGTATGGTCCCCCTAAGCATTCTAGGAGTGATTCCTGACTAAAGAATCAAGTTAAGCCCTGGAATTCCCAGGTATGGCATCTACCCTCACTCCCCCAAAAAGAACCAACAAACCATAATACTGTCCATCCATGGTTGTGTATCTTAAACTAAGCCAACTCTCACATACTGTGTGACAAGAACAGAGAAGGAGGGCAGGCACAGATCATGTATGAATAAATGCTTAGCTTAGGTCACCATAATGAATGGTGTTCTTGGACTCCACAAAACCAATTTTTATACTGATTTTCTATATATATATTTAGTGACCTGACAGCACATATTAAAACAAGCAATTTTTCTCCACTGCAGTGCAATATAACTTTTGCCATATATTTTTTAACTATACTCTGATCCAGTGGCCTGTCTATTCTGTGACAATATATACTATCGTAAATATCACTTTAGAATAAGTCAGTGTTTGGTAATAAACGCTTTCCAATTTTATTCGTCTTTTAAGACTTTCCTTGTAGGAGAATGGAACCATCTGAGATTGAAACAGGTCTTCAAACCAAAAACTTCACCAAAGAAACAAAACAACAAGAACAACAACAACAACAAAATATAATTAAACACAGAATTCTGTGAGCAGCCCAGCAGAGGACATGGCACAGAATGCCCAGCAACCCACTCCCAGAAGATTCTCCATAGAGAATGAGGAGCAACACAACAACTAAGGAGTTGGACCTCAGGAAAGAAGGAAAGGGAGGAGCAGAAATGCCACAAGTAGGGCCTAGTTTTGGAAAAAGGAAGCATGGAACTAAAAATATGCCTTTTTAAAAGGCCTAATATGAAGGCAAGACCTAGGCCAGCCCAGATGTTTGTTCAAAGCCTACAGTTACAGCAGGTATACATTTGTGAACCCTAGCACCCCCTCCCCCCCCCCCCCACACACACACAGGAAACCAACCAGCTGCCATTCCAAGTCAGGGATGAAAAGCAGTAGAACAAGAACCCAGGCAACAACAAAAGCAGTCCTTATGCCCCCAGTGCACCTGAAGGACTACAGAGGTGCACCAAGAGTCAATGAAGATCTTCTCCAGAGACTAAGGAGAATAGTTTCTATCATGTGTTTCAGCTCATACTTAAAAGACTAGGACGAAACAGCAAATGTGAGGCACCATAAACACAGAAAAGTGGCACTGGTCTATTCATCCATAGGGATACAGCTGACTCATTACACTTGGTGACTATAAATTCCCAGTAGCAGTTCAAAGCACTATAGTCTCCAGGTGGAACTAGTGAGTGTAAACCTAGACTGCCGATTCAGGACTACTCTAAACCAGCCCTCACAGCACACCAACTTACAACTGTAAGTAGAGGAAATTACCTACATTCACGGATGAAAACAAAAGCCTAGGAAGGCCTCCGAGCTCTTTAACCTCTTTGACTTCAAAGTGACAGTATAAGGATGTTCACTGAGTTAAGGAAAACAATAGAAGAGAGTTTCCACAAGGAAAGAAAAAGAATGAGAAAACTTCAATTAGAAGTCACTGAACTGAATAATATCATAGATGATGTAAAAAAAAAAAACCACAGGGCTGGAGTGATAGCATAGTGGGTAAGGTGTTTGCCTTGCACACAGCTGACCCGGGTTCAATTCCCAGCATCCTATATGGTCCCTGAGCACTGCCAGGAGTGACTCTTGAGTGCAAAGCCAGGAGTAACCCCTGAGAGCATTGCCAGGTGTGACCCAAAAAGCAAAAAAAGAGAATGGTTTCAAGATCAGAATAACAGAAGCCAATGAACAAATAAGTATAACAAATAAGTATACTTGAGAACAGGATACATAAAACCATCAATAAAAAACAGGAGATGGGAAAAAATATACATGAAAACATAGATAAAGAATAGGAGAATAGTAAAACTCGTCAGCTTAATCAACAGATGAATAAATAGCAGTACTCTTATATTTAAAAAAAAGAGTAAAATTGGTGGTGGGTGTCACAGGAGGGAAAAAAGTAAAGTATGTAAGAAGAAAAAAAGAATTAAACAAATAATAAAAAAATAATCTATGAGATAGCTTCAAGAAGACTAAAACACATTATGGGAGTACTAGAAGGAGAGGAAAGAGAAAAAGGAGTGACTTTTGATTGAAGAAATTATAATAGAGAACTTTCCAATTTGAGGATAAAGTCATATACCCAGATCCAAGAAGCTCAAGATGTTCCAAATAAATGAACAAACAGAAAAACACTAAAGACACACTGTAATTAAAATGGTAAAATCCAAAGACATAAAATTCTAAGAGCAGAAAGATCAAAGAAAAAATTTTATATAAGGAAATCCCACGAGACTCATACAGATCTATTCTTGCTTCACAGAGATGACAAAAATACCATGCTGAATGAAATAAATATCCAAGCAAGAATACTTTATTGAGCTAGTTTAAAACCTAAATTCAAGAAGTGACACAAAACTTTATAGACAAATAATAAAGAAATATATGGCTACTACACCAATTCTGCAAAAATCTCTAAATGGTCCTCTACAAAAGGCATAAAGAGTAAGCAAGATAGTAGAAATATAAAATGTGGGAAACGAGGAGAGTAATAATGGAATTGTCTAATGAACACTTGCTTTGTACTCAAGAGGGGATACAGACTCAGAACTTCAGAGGTAAATTTAAATATACTTAGAAGTCACAACCAAAAAGAGGCGAATGGAACTGAAGTCAGTGGGCTCCCATGGGTGGCTTAGTTGAGGTGGAGAGGAGAGAGACTGGTCAATTTCTGCCTCTACCACACCAGGACCAGCTGGGAAGGTTAGAACTGATAATGTCTGGAAAGTCAGTAAGGGGCCTTACCCAGGGTTCCCATTTTTTGTCCTGTCTCACAAAAAAATTATTTCAGGAGTAGATAAGTAGTGAAATAAAAATAGATTTTCTTTGGAGAGTTTTTGAGGAAGGGGAGGGAGGGAGAGCAAAGGGAGCGAGTGTAATG